TTCCAAATTCTTTGAAATTGGAGCTAAATGCTACAAGCCTTCAGGCAAAAAAGAAAAAAAGCAGGCGATAATGAAAAAAGCAGGTGTGAAGAGAACACTATAATAAAACAAAAACTTCACTTAAAAGACAACTTTTCGAAAAGTATTTATAACTACTTAATCAGGAGTTAGTTCTTCTTTAAAAAAAAAAAAGAAGATATTTTTCTTCGCCTTTAACTACGAGCAGTAAAAGTTGGTGAAAACAGCAAAAGGCACTGAGGAAAAATTGAGATAGATGCCGCAATTAATTTCATTTTCTGTTCTCTTGCTGTGCTGGCTTTCATTCTGTAGAATGTTCTCTCTCGAGATTGAAGCTTTTTCTACCGTTATTTAATGTTTTTGTTTACGAACCGCAATAATTTTGGATTAGTGGAGGACATCTGATGAAAGTGACTACTTGTGGTGTACTTTTATGCACTCGTTCTTCTGAATCGGTTATTTTTATTAAGAAATTATTCATAAGACACGACTTTGGTTTTAGTAGACTTATTATTCTTGGCCGATTATCATATATTCTCTTGAAAGGCTGGATTTTTCTAGACATAAATAATCATTTATTTAAATACTTTTCATTATTTGTGCTGTAAAATTTATTCCTCTTTTAAATTGATTTACATAAATATGTATTCAAGTTTCTCCAATAAGTGAATAATTCATATTTATCTGGATGATTTATTTCTTTTTAAAAATAGAAATTCATTTAATGTTGTTGTTGGAGTAGGCCATTAAGGTAAGGGGCGCGATTATTCTTGTTTTTCAGTGATACCATCTATGACCAAGAATTCAACTTCTGCCACACCCATGCGTCACACTCGCTTGTAGGTCGGACCCACAGATCGTAATTTTGACCAGAACCAGAGAGCAATCAATCTTTCATTCAGTATCCCCAGAGATATAATACGTTATGGGATCATGGAGGACTTCGTGACCCAACAGATTTAATGTGCACCAGTCACGTTTACTACACGGCAGAATTCGGAACCCCGTTTTTCACGAATGAGAGTCCAGTGCCCTGACAACCGGGCTATCCAGGCCAATTCATTTAATCAACCTAGTATTGATGTTTGCGGTTAATTTCTTTATTTGGTGGTAATAACATCTACATAAGCCAATTAAAGTGAATAACATTTTCAGAGATGAACATATTAATTCAAAATTGATTATAATTGCAAATAAATCATGGTCAATTCTATAATTCATTACGAAATAGTGTGGAAATATTAATTTTAACGACTAACACTACTAATTACCAAACTTCATTAATGATCACTACTGACAAGGAACTACAAGAATTTTAACGACTAATAGTACCTAATTACCAAACTTCGTTGATAGTCATTGACTGAGGACTAGAATAATGCAAAATTTCTTGGAACCGTGGCAACTTTTTAAGCATGTTATAAAAAGAAAAGTGGCGTAATAACTTTTTACTTTTATGACAAATTTTTTTACGCCAAATACGAGTTTTTCGACACAACTATGATTTAAGACAGCCGATTATTAACAGAAACTAGCTTATTTGATTAAAATGCGTTAATTAGAACATTTACCAAAAAAGCGCACATTTATAATTGCAATTATTGCAGGTTACTATTTAAAACAATCGTATCTATCACTTTAAGAGGAACATGCATACTGCCGTGCAATTGTAAAAACAACAAAGTACTTCATGATAGATTTCCAGATAAGCGATCGAACAACTATTTTCTATTCCTTACTAATACTAAAGTTAAAATAGAATTTCAGAAAATTGATAAAAGGAACAGATTTTTGAAAAAAAATAAATATTTTGTTCGCAATATGTAGCTTATCGTAGAAAAATTCCAAATATATAAAAATCTCAAATTTGAATTGATTGCGTCGATTTTTTTATTACACGGCTAGCAAAAAAAAAAAAAAAAAAAAGGGNAATAAAAAAAAAAAAAAAAAAAAAGGGGGGGGGGGAGATTGATCAAGCTCAGATTTTCGACTATTTTTTTTTTTAAATCTTAAGCAAATTTCTTGACACGTGCTCTTCAAAGAATCGTATTTGCTCTTTAATCTAATAACCCTCAACTTTTTTCAACCTTTAAGCCTCTAGAAAATTTGAATATCAGTTTAAAATTTTTGATTTTAAAAAACCCAGAGGCCACCCGAATCTTAAAAAAATTCTTCAAACTTTTAATAAAAGTTGAAGTGGCTTAATACTTCACATTACTGTAGTAACTGTTTGTTTTTAGAACTAACTAAAAATCAGCCGCTGTAAGCCATTGATATTATTTAAGACAAGATCGGAGCGATTTCTCGTTTAGGTATATAAGTACTCTGTACATCGCCAAATAGTTCGAATGAAATGTTAATGGAACTCAATTTGCATGATTACTGTCTTTTTAAAAGAAATATTTAAAACTGATGCAGTTTAACTACCATAAAACTTTTAATAAAAGGCCTTACATGAGTAGAATTACACATGCCTTATTTCTAATAACATTTTGATAATTTTTGGTGTTAATTAATTTTGTTCATTTGTAGATTGGATTTATGTTACATAACTGCATTGTTTTTACGTATCCTGGACGCTATGATTCACGAATTGACAAAAAGTATGTATTTTTAATTTTTTAGATGCATTTCTATAGTTGTAAAAATTGAGTGTTTTTAAAAATCAATTTACGTGTACCTTTTTTAATACATATGGTCTTACTACACGGCCCATTATATATATTTTTTGATTTGATTTCTTCTCAAAAATAAATTTTAAAAAATATTAGCCAAATTTATTGTTAAAAAATGTAAAAAAATAAAATGTTATCAGAATTGTGAGAAGGGCATTAAAACCAGTTTGATGAAAATTGGACGTGTTTCTAATATTCGACAGTAACTTCCCTATTACGTCCAGTAAGTATATAGGTTTTAATGCTTTCAGTCTCGCTTTCTGCGGTAGCAATTCATTAGATTTCGATAGTACTTTTGTTTTTCCTATTTTAAATATAAATTTGTGACTTACATACGTAATTTTTAACTAAAATTCTAAAGCTACACACTCTAAATACTAAAACTAAATTTCACGAATACTAAGTTGAAATTATTTTGTTGAAAATACTTTAAATACGTTAAATAGTGTGGGCAGACTTTCATTCAAGCTATGAAAATTGGATAGAAAATTCACTTTTTTTGAATAGAGAAAACTTTCTTTTAATTTTAAAACGCGTTTGTTCAACAGAAATTCAGCAAAAAAAAAAAAATTTTTTTTAATAATTATAATTTTTATTACTAAACATAAATACTGGTAGAAAAAATCTATTTAAAAGTTATCAAAACGTTTACATCATGTTTGAATATCTATGTAATTTTCATTCCCAAAATCAAAAGTTTGAACAAAATTACTAAAATATTCATTTGCAACTCCTAAAATGTTTTTATTTCTACTTTATTTCTGACAATGATTTTAAAAATATACATTAATAATGGTCAATCCGGAACACCCTGCATTTTACCATCATTTATTTATATTTGTTACTTTTAAATTTAAACAACCTCTTCCCTTCTAGATAATTAACAAAACCACTACCCCCTTGACTAAATGATACTCCCAATGAATACAAAGGCATTTAACCTAGTTATTCTATTATTAATTACGTTGTCCCAATTTTATACTCAATAAACAATTAAATTAATAAAAGCTGTTTATTCTTAAACACTAACATATTTTTCCACAAAGTATTTCTCTTAAATTGTACTTTTTAGTTAGTTTCTAAACAAAGTAATTCATGTGTAGACTACAGAAATTAAGAGAAAGGAAAAAATAAAAGAAAGAAGTAAAAATCACTCGTCCCACTTCATATTAAAATTAACCCCTTTCCTTCTAAGTGAGTTCAACATGTAAATGGGCAATCATTACTCATATGTTTCACATAAGAATTTATTTATAAAAAGTTCTGACAGATGGCAGCACCAGAAACGAATTGAAATCATGATTAAGTAGAAGCTTCTTCACAGAGCTAACTGTTGAAGATGTGAAGTAAAATGGAAAAATTCTAAATATGCTTTTAAACCTTTTTTTTTAATTTTCAAAAATAAACTGATGATGGATATTTACTCTATTTGGCATTATATTTCGTTACATGTAAAAAGGCAAGACCGTCACCCAATCAGAATTTGAAATATTAAGATATTTTAGATTATCAATTAATTTTTCTGAAACAGTTATACTAATACAATTTTGCAATCAGAAGTTTTTGAAAGGTAGTTAAATAGAATACATTTGTCTACTTTTAGAATTTTAATAAATATCTTCCTTTTTGTGAAAATAATGTTATAAAAATTTTTTAGTATCTTTTAAACCAAGTTTCATCAAAAAAAAATATACAAACTGACACATGTGAAGTCTTAAATTACTTACTCAAAAACCTCAAATCGCATAACTTCATAGCTTTAAAGATTCGAGAAAAAATCCATAGAAGTTCTAAAAGTTGCCTAATGCTTCTTCTCTTAATCTAATAAAGCGACACATTTATTTTCCATCTTTTAAAAAGTCTTGTATAGTCAAATATTACTATATCATCATAAGTTTACGTACAAAAAAATATTAAGAAAACGCAAAACAAAAATTTTAACTAGAATTCAAGATGGCGTAAGTAGAGGCCTCTTAAAACGTTATCAAGTAAATGTAATCATTTAAGAAATATGAATAGTTTATAATGTCCAAAATCTTATTATAATACTGTTTATTAAAAAATTTAGACATAAAATTAATGTCTTTTTAATACTGAAACTGCCCTTTTAAGTGAGTGGAGAAGAGGACAAAGTTCATATCATTTTGATATCTGGGAGCAAAGTTCTCAAAAGGGAACTGGAAGGGAACAAAGTTCACAAAGTGTGAACTTCGTTTGCCTTTGGAACTTTGAGAATTTACAGCTGTTGTAAACAAACATAACATCTTGTTTTAATATCTTTAAACTTTACATAAAATATCACAGCAGTTACTTTATAACATAGCAAACTTTATTCAAAATATTCTTTTACAAATCAATGTTCAAATGAAAAACATACCAGGGTTACATTGAGTTAAGGTAAATGTGATTAAAATTCATTAATAAATAAATAAAAATCTACAATCCTCTGAGACTAGAATACTCATAAAACTAGATTATTTGGCTTGGCAGACTACAAGTCATGAAACAAATATTTACAAAACATCTATGAAAAAATAGTTATTTTTCTATGAAAATATATATATTGCTTTACTATATTATAATACAATTTGATTAGTTGACTACATGGCATGCTTGAATCATAGCATATATGTTCTAAAACAGAAAGCTGGATTAGATGTTAATTTTTTTTTGAAATACGATGTTAAAAACAGGCTCAATGTTATCACAAAAATAGCACGTAGTTGCCAAAACATAATAAATAGTGCTTTGTTTAAGTAATATAAGCTCTTTATCTATCAACATTCAGTGTAAAATTCAGGAAGAAAATCTTTAAACCATTCATGCTTCTTGGTTATATGTTTTTTTAAAATTATTTTTAACGTAAAAAGTCACACAATATACATTTAAAACTTTGTTTAAAGTTGTGATTCCTTGGTGTTGAAATACAGTGGGATTTTGAAATCAAAACATTAAAATTAGCTTTTATATTTCACTGAAAAACTTGAAATTCATATACAGCAATTATTATGCACTAAAATTATTACTTGAAGTTAAATACAAAAATTTATTTGTTATATTATCTTGCTATTAATACATGATATAATAATGAATGTTATGCTGAAAATTGTTTCAAGTTATTTTATCTAACAAAAGATAAAAAATTAAAACTGAAGAAATAATTTCACAACTCTGCAATTTGCAGAATAAAATTTTACTTAAAACGTTACCTTTCTGGAAATGCAATGAACTTTGGAAGAATAAATTGCAAAATTGTTCAAAATTTAAAAGCTAGTTTTTAGATATTTCTGACAAAAAATCTCTCTATTAATGCTTTTATATCTAAATAGCATAATTTCTCTAAAACGGATTTCATATGAATTTTTGTAACAAATATAATTTGCGAATGATTTCAAGGTTTTCTTCTGAATTTTGTTCATTTACACAATAAGTCTTCAATAACATACGGAAACTTGATAATTCTGTGTTCTTAGAACTAACAAAAAGACGGCCCATAATATTCTGTCCACTTATTCATATATTGAAGACAAGTACACAGTAATTCTCATAATATATACATTCATTGAAGAATTAAAGATTGTAAAATTTCATCAGGTCAGTGTGGTGTTGACAACCTAAAAAATTTGAAACATAATTAGCATATCACTATAAGATTTGAAACTTGTAAAAATGGTTTATTACTGAAAACTATGGTTTATACATGAATTGTGGATTATTGACATTCAAGCTAAACTCATTAGTTGCTCAAATTCTTAGATTGTTATAAAATATTCGACATCAAATTTTTTTAAACGTAGATGGCATATATTAAAACTTATATATCCTACAAGTAAGTATATACATACATGCAATGTATGTCCTGTATGTGCGTGCATTGTGCGTACGTCATACACTGTATGTACATATCTACGTGCATTGTATGTACATGTGCACATAAATACATGGCATGTACATAGAATATACATGTATACAGGCACATGAAATATACGTATGACGTTCGTTGCACATACACATAAAGGTACAGTATCTCTGATCAATATATGTATGTACATACTATTTATGTGTGTACTTAATGAACTATTTTGGCCAAAAATTGAATTGGTATCATGCCCAGAAATATAGTTAAAATTTAAGCAAAGTAGCTAGTGTTCAGAAACAATTGTAACTTGTACTGTCACTATGCACATATCTACAGTTAAAAATTAAACACACTAGTCAGAAAGCTATTGGAATTGTGACTGACGATAAATTATTTCCATTTGGCGATTTCTTTTTACAATGGTTAGGAAATAATTGAAATTTCTGATGTCAACAGGTAAAGAGCTATGGTTGAAATTTTACAACTTTTTATAATCGCAAAATAGTCAAAACTTCCATGCAAGTTAATTTCTCTTTGGTGATAATATGTCGATTAATCCTGTTAATTACTGTCAAAAAAATAGCTGACGCTTAGATTTTTGTCCAGCAGAAAGATGCAGTTAAAATTTTAATTTAGGTTGCAGTTATAAATTAGATAAAAAATTGTCAAAATTTTAGATGGCGTTAAATTTTAATTCGCAATATGGCGATAAATTCTGTTTTTTAGCACTACGAAAACAATTGAAACTTATAATAGTTTTGACTAAAATTGTAAAGTTCTAGCTAATTTTAAATTGGTCATAATCTTAGTTTGACAATATCATCGTGTTAAATTCTGCGTGTAATGGTCAAAAACGATGAGAACATATATAGTTATCCAGAGCAGAGCTCTTGCAGTCTTGTTGTATTTTAAGAACTCTAGTCAGTGTTTTCATCATAGAAAAAAAATGGGTGAGAATTTCTCACCCTTTTTCAAAAACAGGGTGAGATTTCGAAAAGTTAAGTGAGATCTTTAGAAACACAAAAACTCTTGAAAAAAAAATTCTTTAATCATAAAACATTTTTAACGTCTTCAATTTTTTAAAGCATTATCCTAGAAGATTTCGCATTTACAAGGTATTTGTCCATCTTACATTAGTACATAAAAAATTTGAAGGTCTGACATGAAGAAACCTTGCCTATGGTAAACATGTGGTTGCAAAGAAATGAGTTCTGAAAGGGGTTCTGTGGTTGTGTTCTGTTGTTCGTAAAGGTTCTGAACAATACTGTTAAATAGGGAAGCTAGATAACGGGGCAGATGTTGAAAATAATGAAAGATCCAGGAAGAAAAGTGAAACGGATTTTATTCTAAATGGCGTAATTCGAAGCTTTTTCGAAAATGCGAGAAATTCGCGAATTTTGGAATTGATTTATAGAATGCGCGAATTTCTCGCTGTAATCATTTTTTAATGCGAGATTCTCGCGCTGTAGGGGAAACACTGTCTAGCTAGACTTAAAAATGTTCAGAATTTTGATTCACGATTAACTCAATCTTTCGCTTAAATGACGATAAATTTTATTTTTATCGCTTAGAAAGGCATTAACATAGTTTCGATGACATTTAGATGCTTTTGATTGTGTTCATTGATTTTGACTAATTAATTAATAGAATTTCTAAAGACATTTTTCATTCAATATGCCATCCATTTGTCAAGAAAAAAGAAAGAAAACCTGCATGCAAAGCAAACTACAAAAATAATAGACATCCTATTAAATTTTTAGGTAAAGCAGATAAAAATTTGAAGAAGTTATCGGTCCCGTAATTAGAAAATTAAACTGGGGATATTTAAAAAAGAAAGAAAAAAATTCTGGAATTCCTTGTTCTAGAATTTAACTCCTCTTCAAAGCAGCACTCGGAAACAGTGTCTCCTTTAGTCTCCTGCTAGCTGTTTATTAAATACGAATGCTATGGTTTATGCAGAAATGTTGGTCTTGCTGCAGATTATTTCTGTTGCACATGGCTGCTTTATCATTTCATTAGCAGTGCATTCAATTAAAATGGTAAATTTAGTATTTTCCTTGAATAATCCATGATCTGTTAATTGCTAGTATATTCTGGGTCTACAATGTGATTGCTGAGATTGGAATCTAACTTGCTTCAATATTTATATTGTTTTTACCTCTTTTACCTGACTGTATACCCAAGTCAAAATTCTTGAAGGTCCCATAAAAAAATTTGATGGTTAATGTTGGTTTCGGTGCGATTCACGATAGCCCAACATCATCAAATATTTGTTCATGGTTTTTGATATGCCAGCAAACTTCCATCATTTCATGATGAAAAATGCTACTTTAATACTATGATGGTTAACCATCGAGTGAAGTTTGACTCTCATGAACCAACAATCCATGGATGATCCGAGATAGTTCATGATGATTCCAACTAAACATTTCCATGATGGAGTTCTTGTTGGTTCTCGGGAATATACCATCAAAACAATTTTGATTTTTAATTCGTTGGACCATCATAAATCAGTCTGAATACCTACATTGGAATGATTGTTCATAATCATTTCAACTTTTAAGTTCTAAGATACTATGATGGAAATTCGTGATGGTACAACATGAACAACCTATCAAAACAAGTTGATATTTTTATGTTAAACCATCATAAATCAGTCCAAACATTGAGGTGATGGTTATTAATGTTAGTTACTATCAAAAAATATAATGGTTCGTGATGGAATTATTAATAGTTGCCATCAAGATTATGTTGGTCCATCGATGGAAAACCATCAAAAATTTGGACTTGGGTAACAAATAACAAATAAATCAAATAATATACTAATGAATGAAAATTGTACTTGAGTTATTCTTTTGTAGTATTCTTCACTTGTTTCCCCTTTTACTTTCTCAGGAACAAAAACACGACTTTTTCGAAGCATGAATTCCAAATCTTGTGTGGTCATTATGGACAATGAATTGAGCTTCTTTTTCCTCAGTAGTTCAGCCAAGTACTCATAATAATGTGTTCTAAAAAAATAAAAACATTTATTTGACACTTTAATAGAAATAAGGAAATTTGGCTAGTAATGAAATAAAGCAAATTTTTAAATTGAAACTTTTATTACGTAATGAAGAAATACAACAGAATGCAACATACATTAAATAATAATTTGTTCTGATCATTATTGAGAAGAAAATGGGTCTATTAATTTAGGTCTTTTGAATTACATTATCTTTCCTTCCCAAGCTGCCCCAGGTGCTGCAGCATGCAGGCTTCTCCCCAACATATCCTGGACTGGACAAGAGGGTATTCTAGAAAACCCACTTTTGGTGTCCGACTTCCTCCGGGTCATGAATTTCATGGACATTGTTTAGCCCTGCTAATTTTGGGGATTAGGAAGAAGAAGAACATTATCTTTCAAACTAAAGTGAAAACTAAATACTTTTGCTTGATTTTCAGTAATTAAGCATACAAAGAGACATTAAATATTTGGATCTAATGATTAATTAATATTTCACCTACTAACAAAGAAATGCCATCAAGTGTTAAGGTCTGATATTAAATAAAATTTTCTTTATAGTTTTTGAAGAACTCAATTTGAATATGTTATTTATTTTATAGTCACTTTAAGTTTAGTGAGGATACAAACACTCAGAAACTCTTTGACTTTTCCAGACTAATTTTTGTAATAGGTGGTCCAAATTTTAATAAATTTTCATTTACGCTTTATTCTTATGTTTTCTTTTAGAGTTGAAAATACACATTTTCTTCTTATTATGAAGTTAATTACATTGCAATCATGCAAATTAGATAAGTGTGGGATTATTAAAGGTGAAACAGCAGAAAAAAATGTTAATCTCAACTTGAGACTTTTTTCAATTGAACTAAATGTTATGCGAGCTTATATACAATTGTCAAACTTTCTGTAAGGTAGTATTCAAGAATCTGAATAGTTAACAACATAAACATTAAAGAAAAATTAGAGGAAATTATAATGAATCTTTCAACAAAAACAACTTTTAAGCAACTTGCCACCGACGGAATTTGAACTTTCATCCTTTGGCTTCGTAGTTCAATGCTTCGTAACAACCTGCTCTACAGAAGAAAGAAGTAGTAAGTTTTGTTAAATTATAAATAATTTCTTGTTAAAAGTTGAACTTTTGTGTACCTTAATTCATTTTCCCTAACTTTTAGGGTATTTTGATTAAATCCCATGACATTTTCCCTATTCTACCTAATTTCTATGTTCTGAAGCCAACCTGCAATTCCAAAGAGACTCTCACAAACCTCTTTAGCTGGCATACGAAAACGAAAGTATTACTTACACAGTGTGATTCAGCACGCACAATATGACACTGGGTATATCTTACATTCAAGAGCTGTAGAGTTCAAACCCTGAAGAAGGCACCATAAAAAAACTGGCGTATCTCTCATTCTAGATTTGTCAGATTAGACCCTGCATCGGCCAGAATTTCATTTCTTATTTTCTAAACTTTTTGCTCAGTTTTTCCATTATTTTCTCATTTGATTTAGGAAACTGGAAATGCATAGTAAGGATGCGTAATTGATGAAAATTTCTCATATGATTTCGTAGCAATGAGTACTAAAAATTGGGATTATCCTAGAAGGAACTACAAGTCTAATACAACTTCTAGATGTGTATTTTTTGCAACAAATAAATTTAACATGTTGAATCTATGTAGCCACTTTTTCAATTGTTCTACTGAACATCACAATGAGTGCAATCTTTTCCTTCCTGCTAAATTTAAAGTTTGGTATGAATAAATTAGGAACTATTCAAGTTTCTTCAAAATAAATAACATTGTTGAATTTAGCACCTTAAAAATCTCTCTAAAAAGTTTTGATAGCAGAATTTAATGCAACATTTGGTGTCATTGGTTAAAAGCAAGCTTTAAATATGCTCATCAACTAGAGTTATTTATGAATTAAGTTATGAAATCTGAAAATAATTTTTTTTTCTCGAAGAAAAAATACACTTCAACTTTTAGCAATAATTTGGAAAATATTACGATGGCTAAATAAGACAGTTTCAAGATTTGTCATTTAAAGCTATTTTTACTTTTTGATATATTTGATCACTGGAACTTGCTTATTTAAAAGATCACACACACACACACACAAAAAACTATTCTTAAAATTTCTCCATAATTTTATTTATAATAAAAAAAATTTAACTGTAAGGCATAAAAATATGTTATATCTCCTCGAACAATGTAATTTTTAATAGAAAAATCAAATATTTGAGTAAAATCAGTTGAATAGTCTGAAGAAATAAGAAATAGAACTTTTTCAACATCATGTCTCTTCAGAACTATCCAACCAATTTTGTGATACTTTTTCATGGTACCAGCTTTTTTAACTTACCACTGACTATTTTAAATTTCTGCTGCACTCTGTATGAACCAGAACCAGGTTTATTTGATGATCCTCAGGTAATGTAATTAAAAGACCCTTTTTCAAACGGTTCAAGAGAATTTATGTTTTAAAAAGGATTATGTTTATGAGCTCTTACCTATTGAAATTCTAAAAACTTGTTAACTAAGTGGAAAAAAACTAGTAATAAACAGTTATAAAGAAATTAAGTTAGGAAAGTGTAGCTTATCACCATAATGAAACAAACTTTTCATATATTAAACATATTTATAATATTCTATAAAACTTAATGTTGTATTTGAAGAAATGTCCTTACTTGCAGAGACCAGCACAATATGGAACAATATCACGACCACATCTGTCTTCAGATAGGGCTCCATGGATATGCTTTTGCTCGCGCACTTGGCATCGACTTTTCACTATTTGATCTTTTGGTGGAATGGTTAAGTATTCAACAGATTCTTCCTGAAATTAAACACTTGATTAGCATAATTAAATTTAACTTTTTAAATAAAATAATTTACTTAGCAAACAGTATTTAATCTGATATTATGACATCAGTAAATTAGAGTTCTGATATCAGAATTTCCTTAATAAACTGTATATTTTTTATCACCTATCTTATTCTCAAACATCAAAAAATTCGCTGCCTTCAATTTTAAAGAAATATTATCAGTAGTCTGTTTAACAAATATTGCATCAATTCGCTGCTTTAAACAATTATAAAGAAATATTATTAGTAGTCTGTTAAACAAATATTTCATCCTTACTTCTAAAAGCATCTGTATATCAGAGATTTCTTTGTCTCTAATGAAGAAAAGACAGTTATATGGATGGTGGACGTGTGTCCCCCTTGAATCACAGCTCTTATTCTGACAATCCTGAAATGATTGATATCCCTTTTAAATAATTCAAATACTTTTTTACATTCTTAATATTATACGTCACTTTTAAAACTAAAAAACTTTTTAAAAAAACATATACAGAGTAAAAAGAAAACTTTAATGTTACTAAATAATATACAAAGCCCAGAAGGGAAATTATCTTACCCTCCCCCAGTCGCAAGTCAGAGAATATTTAGATAGTGCTCTCAAAAAAGTATAGACAGTCTATAGACTGTCATAAAGGCTATAATAGACTTTTTGTTAGTCAGTAGTAAAAGTTCAAGACCTCAGACATAATAGAACCTGAAGGCCCACTACAAACAATGTGTAAAAAGAAAAATAAATGAAGGTACAACCTGGATAATTTTTTGATCTAGAATTAGTATCTTCACGTACTAAGACTAAATCTTAATGGGTCAAAGTGATGACCTCAATTTGTTTAACGCAGACAATATTTAAAATTACGAAACAAGAAACAAAAATATACTTTCTCTGAAGAAATTAATTTAGGAAATATGGTCCCAATAATTTTATCAGAAAAGAGGTCCAAAGTTTGGATCCCATAATGTTAATCTTACTTTTCGCTGATTTCACCATATTCCGAAAATTTTTGGAGAAAATCAAAAGCATTTTTGCACAGAATTATATAATTTGTTTATCCAATGATAATTCAATGCTTGGTATTATACTTTTTACTATTATTTACGACACACTAGAGCTGCACAATGGGCTATTGGCGATAATCTAGGAAACATCCCTGAGGATGATCTGGAGACAACATGCATACCTCACATCCCCTTGTACAGGGAGAACACATTCACACAATGTCCATCTTGTCGCAGATCATAATTTTGACCTGAACCCCCAGAGGTATTGATTTGTAATGTGAACTTGTAGGACTTTGTGATCCCGATAGATTTAGTGTGCACCAGTCAGCATTTTGTACATGGGGAGTCCTTGGATTAATGTGCCTAACACCCTACCAGCCAGGCTTTCCTAGCTGCGGCAATTCAATGCAAAAATTATTAATAATAGTAATTTATTATTATTAGTTCTTTTATTTTCTTTAATATTCAAGAAAACTTTTTAATTGCATGGTATGCAAAATTTTACATCATTTTAAGGAGTGTAATTTTAAGGAGTGTAAGGAGTGAGGAAATAGAAAATCTGAATCAAAATAGGTAAAGCAGTCCTTGAAAAATTCCACTTTTTAAAAGTCATTTATTTAAAATTCAATTTTAAGGAATTGTTCAAATTTTGTATTTTGTCACGCAAAATTACATTCTCTAAAATTATGCAAACGTTTATATTGCTTACAATTCGAATTCTTTTGACTATTATTAAATGAAATAATAAAAAATTATAAATAATTAAAATTATTTACTGCATGGCATGATAAATCAATTTTATAATTGTGAGCAAAAATTTTTCGATTTGCTTAAGAAATTCTCCAAATATGGTGAAATACGAAATACGCAAAAAGTTAAATTAACATTAAAGGGTCCAAACTTAAGACTACTCCCCTGACCAACTTATTAGAATTGTATTTCCTAGATTATTGCTACAACCCTCTGAAATTTTGAGGTCCCTCCCCTAAACCAATAGGATCGAGTCCTATTAGATCCAATTACAAGATCAAAAATTTTCGCAGGGTGCTCCTTTTTTTTTTTGCTTACTGTACATTATTTTTGATTGTAATATAATTTTTGTGATGACATTTTTACTGTTAAATTTTAATATGAATTTTAACAGCTATGTATTTGATAATCACAAACATCAAACTTAAGAAAAGTTCACTACATCAAAATAATAATTGGAAATGTTAAAATGTGATGAAGGCATACATATAGAAAAAGAATATAAATTAGACTAAAATTGTTAATACTATAATTGTCTGCAAATATCAAACATAACATTATATGACCCAGTTTACAATGACTCCAATATTGTAAACATTACACTGGCATCTTAAACATTACACTGATAATAGCTTTTTGCTAAATATGTGCATAAAATTTTTATTTGATAAACAATAAAAAACATTCATTAAAAAAATTTAAAAAAACAGATCATCATGTTTTCAGTGATTTCATAGAAATAAGTATTAATGTCTTAATAAATTAAATGTCTTCTCATACAAAAAAGATAATGTGATAAGCTGATGAATAATGTGTAAGTAAATAAATTTCTTTTAGAAAATGTTCCTTAAGAGTAATATTTCTCAGACTGTCAATAGATGTATATTTATTAATAGTATTAATTCTTAAATTGCAACATAAATAAAAATGCAAAAAAAAAAAAATTTAACTTACTTTTCCTCTCTTTACATCCCTTGAACAAAACCCACAAAATTCATGACTGCAGTGAGAGCATTTATACATTAAACATCCAGCGCACGCTTGATTATATATGAGGCCACATGAAGGACATGCTAAAAAGAATATTCGTGTTACTTAGACATCAAATTGGGCAAGGAATTCCTAATAAACTATGATCATATTTTAAACTAACTTGTAAAATTTTAATTAAATCATTACATCTATTTAAAGAAATTGCTGATAAATTTAAAGCTCTATAACAGAAAAATATGACGGTAAAGATTTTTAGGACTTTTTTAAATTTCCAAAACTACTAAGTTACAAAGTTTAGGGATTTATTCATTTGTAGTTTTTACCAAAGTATATTTGTGAAAAGTATTTATGTTGCATTTAAAATTAAAGTTATAATGCTTTGTGAACTGAATTTTTATGAAACTTTTTGTTTCATGCAACTTTGAGAACTGGAATTATGGCATTTTAAGTAGTCTGTATTTTTAGAGTTCGATTTTTAAATTTTTTTCATTAGCAATATCACTGCACATTAAATACTTAATACATGAAAATTTGTTTGCAGGATGTAGTATAGTGCTTGATATTTCAAAGCTTAAAACAAAGGAAATTTAACAATTACATTTGATATTTTTTCCGTCAGCAATTTCATCACTAAAATTAATTCCTTCATGCAAAGTAGATTTTAAAAGATAAAGGAAACTATAAACTAACTTATCCCTCTATCTGTAAGATATTTAACTAAGCCAGCAGGAGGTGGTTCAGGTGTATGCATGTCTTTCCATTGCTGGAAACGCTCACAATGAACACCTTCATGCTCCAATTCCCACTAGAAAACAAGACTTCAGTAAAATGGTGAACACATTTGTTTTCAGTTTTACTTGTTGCAAAATGATTACATTAAATAAAGCCTTATCATTAATTTTACCACTGTTATAAAATAAATTAACTTTTATAACATTTTAACAGATCTACAACTGGTAATTACCACTCCTAATTAATAATAAATAAAATAATACTTTATTATCAGTTTCTTTTTTGTAAGAGCTCCTGTTAAACTATGATTCTTTATTTCCAGTTGATATTTCATGATAACAGACAATATTTATTACTGCATATGATTGTAATATTAAATTAAGTGTAAACTTTAAGTAATAAACTTTCTTTTTACACGAAATGCTAATATAAAGTATATTAACAGAGTGAATGTACTTTTACTATTGATATCAAAATTTTCATAAAAAAATAAGCTGAAATTCATATAAAAAGTTAAAGTATATTTTGCATTAACATACTTAAGATTGGAATGCACCATAACAAATTTTAAATGGTTCATTTTCAAAATGATTAATAACTTAAAACTTGATAACTTTAGTTTAAGTTTGATAATTTTACAGATAATAATTTTACAGATTATTTTACAGATAAGTTTGATAATTTTACAATAATGTAACATAGATGTTGTTTTAATAAACAATATTTATGTTAGTAAGGCCATTTCTGCTGCATGTACAATTAAATTATTTAAGTTGCAGCATTTACATCATTGACTTAACACATTTAGTTATCTAGAATTCCAATTATTAATAAATTTTTTAACATTTAAAACAAAGAAAATAATATAAAATAGTTGTATATGCTTATTTACTATATGAATCATAACTTTAATTTTTTGAGGGGGTGGTTGAGCACACTGAAAAGAATTTAGAAATGTTAAGCCGATTAAGGTAAAGTCCATATTATGCTATATTTTCCCAAGAACAATGTTTCCATCATTAATATACATAATTAAAAATAAATAATGGAATAAATATTGGACACATTTGATTTTATAAATTATTTAAATAATTCTATAATCAAAACTATGTATTAAGAATAAAAGGAAATATTATTACAGTTTGATGACATGATGCACAGGTGATAGCTGAACAGTCAGGACAATACAACTTTTTCAAGCGAGGGCTTGCAATAAAACCAGACGAACACTAATGAAGCAAAAGAAAATAAGACACTATTGAAACTTTCTTTATAGTTATTAATATACAAATAAACTTTTTTATAAATGAATAGCATTTAAAAGAACATTATATGATTGAAGGAACATTATAAGAACATTATTACATACATTGATCTAATATCTTATAGCTATGTCAACATTTATTTTTAATTTCATCAATTATTATTAATGAAATTTAAAATATTCACTCACAAAACGATTTTTAATCACCAGTACTAAGAAAAATTCAGAAAAAAAGAAACTTTTTTTTCTCCACATATCTTACAAACAGTGAAAGTCAGAAGGAACAAAACTTAATATACCGTTTCTGTGAAAGATTTTGAGATTAATTGATTTAAAAATCCCAAACTTGAATAAGTTATAATAGCTACATTTCAATATCTATTTCTCTCAATCAGAAAAAAAAAGATTTTTAATTATAAGAATATACACAAATGTACTGTAAAATAAAGCATTCCTCCAACAACTTGACTAATGTACTGTTCCACATTAAAAACTTAAAATAGGTATCTCCCCAAGAGTTGGCTTGGACAAAGTGAAAGTAAAGCGAACGGGTTGAGTTTATTCCATCAATTTAGGGAAAGAAGACAGGAAAGTCAAAGCGAAATGGAGAATCAGGGGGAAATGTATATAGATAACTTATTTGAGAAAGGAAATGAATAAAAAATATAACTTATTTAAAGAGATTTCTATCACAATGAACCAAAAAAGAGGAATAGTATGCCAGTAAGAAATTCTTACCAAAAACAAGTTCACTTATACTTCACAAGTTTAATTTTTTTTCAACCTATGAAAAAGAAAATTCTTCTGCAAAACTTTCGTGCCAGTTTGTTGTGGTAGAATTATAATACAGTCAAGCATCAATTAATTTGAACTACTTTAATATGGAATAAGATTTTAATGCAACAAAAAGAAGTGACTTATAAACCAAAAGCATGAAATGCTGTAAAAGTAATCAGACTAGTTTTTAATAAACATGCTCTATTATATAACTATTTTATAGGCATTCAAATGTTAGTTATAGAGTAGAATTTGAATACAGTAGGGAACCGATTATCCGGAACAATCGGGACCATCGCTATTCCGGATAACTGATTTTTCCGGTTTTTTGAATCGCTACAAAAAGCCGTTTTTTTTATGTTAAACCCAACTAAAAAAAAATTTTTTTTTTTGGAAATAATCTTAAAAAGAAGAAAAAACGATGGAGTAATACACTAATGATTATTTCCAAAATGAAGGTAAAGTAAACATCTTTAAAAAAAGAACGAAAAATCCTAAAATCTTATGAGGAAAAAAAAATATTTTTTTTAAAATGGCGGGAAAATTTATCGAATTTCGTTCCGGTTTTTTGGTTTTCCGGTTTTCTGATTTCCGGATAACGGGTTCTGTACTGTATTTTATAACAATTTATTGATTTAGAAATACAAGTCAAAGATAAGTCCAGAAATCTTTTGATAAGAGTACACAGAAATAAAAATGAAGTAATTAAACAAATTAGTTGGAAGATATAAATTGATTTCTTTTTTATTTCATTCATAGATTTAATTTATTATTAAAGAATGTTTAAAAAAAATTATTCGCATAAAAGTCAATGAATTAAAAAATGACTATTTTGCCAAAATTGGGATACTATTGATTCATGTAAATTTTCTTCAATTTTAGCTTTACAAAAGTCAATACAAAGTATAAGAAAGATATTTGTGAAAAACCACTACTATTTAAATAGTAGGAATAAAACAAACAAACATAGGCAAGTAACAAAACAAACATTAAAATTCTCTGCAATTACTGAGATTTTATAGCATTAGAAAATAACAATCTGTCATTAATCAGTATCTATACCTAATATTTTAGAAAATGCTGATACAACCATATATGATAAGAAAAACTAATAAAACTAAAATAAGCACTTAATTTTTAAAAAAATTGTAAGAGCCTAAAATGATTTAAATTACACAAATTAACTTACTTGAGAACACCAATGAAAATTAGGATCTTTGGTCAGAACTTCATCCCTCAGTTTCCGTTGAAATAGATCATAAATGCCACTTTCCAACACATTCCTAAGCTATATATAAAATACATGATTTATATAAACCTAGTACATAGTTTTACATTAACAAGCATAGGCTACAGACAGAAAAAAAAATCTATTTCAACAGTTATGCAAGGAAGAAGAGCTACTTTGCTAGAAGGAGCTAAGGATAATATTTTAAATGCAAATAGCAAAAATAAGAAAATGTGTTACCTCTATAATTTTTATACATGCAATAATTTTTATAGACTTTCTAACAAAGGATTAACTATATTAAATATTTACTATGTAAATATTTTTTTTTTCAAATAAGAAAAATATCAGACATACATAGTGTTTTGTTTACTGAATATGGCAGGTGGATTAAATATTAAGGCTGAATATTTAATGATGAAGTAATACAAATACTATAAAAAAATGTAAATTTCCTGAAAGATAAAAAGCTTAGATAAAGTTTTTTAGATATTTTTCTTATTAGATATAATTGATTAAAATTTTGTAATCTGTGGTTTAAATATTTCTTACTAATTCAAGTTTTATACAATTTTAATGATTTCACATTTCTTTATGTTTTATGATTAAATATTAGAAATTTATTAAAACCATGTGTAACATAAGTAAATATTATAAGCTACTACAACAAATGTGTAAATTAAAGCGGCAATTGAGTTGTTTAGTAGCTAGGTATAGTTAACTGTTGCAAATATATGAGTTAAAATCAAGCAAATGAAATGAGATTAAGATCTTTGCTGTTTGTCTTTTTATATGGATAAAATCCTAAGTATTTCTTTGACATTATTATACATTATTGCCACTGTAGCACAGTGTTAATTTCTTATTTTTATTGCTTAGTATTATAATTATAAATTCGTTTCCATTCTTCTATATATGTATTTATGAATGTGTATAATTTAAAAGACAGATAGGACAGCTGAAACAGAAAATATTTTTGTGAATTATAATTAAAAAAAACTTACCATCATATCAAGATGATTAAAATATTCCTGTATATTTTGATCTGTTATATCTGGTAAATGACAAATAGGACACAGAAGACTGAATATGCTCCGATCATGAATTAAAGCTGAAAAATGGGCTTTCAAACAATCTTTGCAAGCTCGATGTGTACAATGAATCATGGATACCATCTAAAATAGATATGTAAATGGAAAATATTACAAATCAACAATGTGTTTTTTCAAAATGGCAACCATTATGAATTTTGTTACAAATAAACATAATTTCTTCCAAAAACAGTAAAGTCAACACATAGATCTATTTACGGTTCTAATTTTTTTTTTTTTTTTTTTTTTTTAACAAAATTGGTATTTACTTTGCCACTCTATTTTGGAACATGTTAATTTTTACTTAGTAGTTTAATTAAAGTTAATTACCTTTGTAAGAACGTAAAATTAGTGTGTTATCACAGATCATATTAAATAAAACTTTTAACTGATAAATATTTTTAAAATATTTAATAAAGGCTGATGAAAATGGTTTTTGGGTGGAAATGTAAATTTTTTCGACAATATCTGCAGTTTCTAATTCGTTACATGCCAAGTGTGCTTCGGAAGGATCTCTCTGCACTCCTGTCTAGAGGAAAAATTAAATAAAAATAAATTAAACTGGAACCACAATTTAAATGGTCACTACTTGTATTGTTGTTCAGCTAACTCTGGTTTTGACAGTTTTCTCTTCATGATGTCTAAATGCAAGTCAGTTTCCCTAAAAAATGTTCCCCATGATCATAAAATGAAGGTGAGTTTGCTTTTATTCCAAATTCAGGAGACTCGTGCGTCTCTGAATTGATAGTGTTTCTAATCCCCCTTGGCTTAGACAAACTAAACCAAGTACCGGAGACCATGCTACACAATTAAATAAGAAACTACATCCCCCTCATTCAACAGCTACCAAAAAAAAACATCAGTAGAATCTAAGATCAATCAGTAGAACTAAGAAGGAGAAGCGTAAGTCTTCTCGTTTCCATTAAAAATCAGACTCTCAGTGTTACCAGGTCTTGGACAGGAGCACTACAATAAACAGTCCACGGGACTCCACAGCACACTAGGCACGTTCAGGCTGGGTCCTTCAAGTGTTGTTTATATAAGCCAACAACTGAGAGTGGACCTCAGAAGTTCTCAGTTCGGTGAAAGGGCAGTTGGAGGTTTGCAACCTTCCCCAGTAAGCAGGTCAGCAACTTTGCGTCTGTAAACCCCAACATGTGAGGGAACCCATGGTAAGCATTCAGTACCAATTTATCCAGGATATTAGGCAAATTTCTCGAGTACTGTATGGAACATTTGCTATCTGTCAGGATCAACATCATCCGTGTCAGCTTCCAAAGCAAGATTTAATGCCTGTCTAATAGCAACAAGCTAAGAACGAAAAACTGAACCGTGATAAGGGTTTTTAAAATAATATCTATGTTCTCCTGTACTTGTTTCATAAGCACACAATTAATTCCTGAGTGAGATCTGCTGCCATCAGTGTAAAGAACGAGAGTCCGGAGGGAATACTATTTACGACCTCAAGGGAAAGCACCAGCTTTCCCTTGAATTGATTATCAGAATCGATAGTAAAAAAATATTGGCCTCAAAACTATTGACTCACATCACAATATGAATATGAAGTTAATTAAAGGTTCACTTTAGTTTTTTAGACAGCACCATGGCTCAATTTTTCTAAATTATATTAAGAGATGTTATAAAAGGAAATTAATTCCACTCACCATATTTATTGGAAATCGACAATTACACAGCTCACATAGCTGAGTTAAAAATTTTACTGCATGATAAACACTACTACACTGTTTTGAAGCTAGCAAGGCATCTTCTTCTTCAAACTGCATCTCAATGAGTTTTGCAGCAATGAAAGCGATCTCTTTATTTGTACATTTACCTTCACTCTGAAGTTTGGCAACACGCTCCTGAAAAAATAAAAACATTAGTTAATTAAAATTAAATTGAAATTAATCCTCCATTAAATCTGACATTATCAGTCATTTCTAAAATATTTATAAAATTCAAAAGAAAAGTATCAGTTTGCTGAATTAAGTAATCCATTAAGATTTCATATTGCTTAAAAAAATAAAACAAATCCTTTGAATTATTACAGAATCATAATTCATAATTAAATTTTTTAGCAATAGTTGATTTCCGTATGAAATTTATGAGAGTTTTTAGATAATTCTTAAAATAAAAAGGCTACTGACGTATAATCTAAACATAGCAAAATAAACAACAACATATAAGTTAATTAAATTGAAATTTATTCTCTATTAATTCAATCATTCCTAAAATATTTATGAAACTAAAAAGAAAAGTACGATCAGTTTGTTGGATTAAATCATTTGCATACACAATTTGTGAAGCAATCCATTAAAATTTTATTTTACTTAAAAAACAAAACAAATTCTTAGAAAATCATACCTAATTCATAATTTACATTTATAGCAATGGTTGATTTCTGTATGAAATTCATGAGAGTTATAAGAATATCCTCAAAATTAAAAGGCTACTGGGGTGAAAACTACTGATTAACATGAATGATTTTTGAAAAGATAATGATTTATCGGAAAACGATACCGATTTTGTTTCCAACGCTGATATTCATTAATCCAGCATAATTAAAAACATGTTATAACTAGTAATAATTAGAAAATATTGGTAACTACAAAGAAAAAATAAACATATCCAGCACAAAATGAAATAAATTAAAATGTGTAAGAATATAAATAGGCTGAATTAAATAAACAAGATCAAATACTTGAACAAAGCAAATATGACATTAGATTACATGAATGAACATAATATAGGATTAACTTACATCAATTGATAACCTCTTTCTTGACAGATCAGGAGCCGGAGAACTTTTGGAATGCATAGAAGATCTACTTGTGGATGAAGTGCTACCATCACTACTACTTTTCCTTCTTGATGGAACAGCTGGTGACTGAACAGATCTTCTACGTCGCACCGGCTTGTCAGGAATGGCACCATCACTTGCAGAGGATTCCTGTTTTGATAATGACGATTCTTGAGAAGATAGCGATTCAGAAGAAGATGATGTCGAATTTCTTTCCAATGTTGACACCTCTCTTCTCCTTTTACGAGGAAGAGCTGGTGCCTCAATTTTTTCGGAAATCTGAGGCTCGTTTTCTTTTATTACTGGAATGTCAACTTTTAGATCTTCAGATCCGAGTTCAACAATAGAAATATCAGAGTTGCTAACAGTTAATTTATTAGTTGTTACTGGTACACTTTTTGAAACAATAGCATCTGTAGGCAGTTCTACAGTAGTTTCTTTTATTTTGCCTCTTTGTTTACATGGAATGTCTGGTTTTTGTTCGTCAATATTTTCAGACAGAATAGAATTTACATCTGATTTAACTATAGGTATACTTTTTTCGGGTTCTAAATAAAAAGAGGTTTCATTTTTAGTTTCAACTGATGAAGGTGGGATTTTTGTAAGCAAATTAGAATCTAACGATGTGGAAGGAAGTTTATTTTCACTTTTGTTTTTCTCAGAAACTCGTGACTCAACATCAGTAGACTGTTGAGATGATTTTGGCACTTGCACAGTTTTTTCGGATGAAGTTGTCATGATCTTTTCAGAAGGCTTTGATTTTTGCTCTTCAACAACAGATTCTGGAATATTTTTAGTTTCAACTTTTTCATCAATTTGTTTAATGAGTTTGGATTCCCCTGATTCCTTTTCAATTTTAGATTGAATATTTTCTTTCTTCAAAATTGTTTTATCAACGTTACATTCAGACTGAGTGCTAGTTTGATTATCTTTGAAATTGCCAATCTCAAGTGTTTGTGGTAGCGTGTTATGAGAAATCTTATCCTTCTTTATGTCTTCTATGATTGCTATATCAGAATGATTTGGTGGGATTGAATCATTGGTATTTTCATCACTATCTTTCAAAGAGGTCTTTTGATCATTGGATTTCTGGTCGCATGTTTTACTATCAGTCAAATCCTTATTAAACTCAAAATCTCTTAAATTAGTATTTTCATCATCAAGCAAAATTGGCGGTTCTTTCAAGCAAGTAATTTCCTCAGTATTTATAAGCTTTTCATTTTGGAATGCAGAAATTTCTTGATCAAACTCTTCTTGCTCATTAAATTCCTCAAGTGGAGAAAGTCCCTCCCTTTCAAATTCCCTATCATGTTCATTTTCCTGATACACATCAAACTCCTTAAAATCTACAGCTAAGAGTTCATCGATTTTTGATAAAACATCATCATGTTCAGGCAAATCATCTTCAATAGAAGCAGCATCAGCAGTGGACCAGCTATCATGTTCTTGCTCACTCGGTTTCAAATGGGAAGCAGTTCCATTTGAAAAAGTTTTAAAACTTTCAGTTGTTAAATTTCTTTCTTCCTCCATAAAACTTTCTAAAGTTTCATCAAAATTGCTTACATTCATATCAATCGTTCGCTCTATAGCTTCAAATTCATCAGCTATTCCATATCCATGAATATCCGATTCAGAACCAGACAACACAGCATCAATACCATATTCTTTTAAATCAAAGCTTTCTTCAATCCAGTCGGTGTATTGTATAGGATAGACAAACTCATCATCATTGATTACATATGGAGTGTTAAAATTATGATAGTCACCTTCTTCATACATTTCCTCATCTTCATACTGCTCATTAAATTCATCAATTTCTTCAACAAATTCTTCATCCCCCAGGCTTTCATAAGCATCTTCTGTGACAACTTCAGGACTTCTTGATAAAGATTGCAAATCTTCAGTAACTCTTTCAGATTCAACCAACGGATCATGTTCGAAATAGGTTTCATTTAATTTTGGTATGATGTCTGGGGAATTATTAGTTTGTTCAGTATCGTCAATGTAAGTTAAATTTTCAATCACATTAACATTTTTTAATTTAGTTTCAACATCAAAAGTAGAGGAGCTAAAATTAGGGGATTTATCTTGCTTACTATCATTATCTTCCATCATAACCTCAACTTGAATATCAGATTTTACATCAGTTGGTAAATTGTTATCCAAAGGTAACATGTTATCACACACTTTTTCTCGCAATGAAACTGATGCACTTTCATCTTCCATTTCCTCAATAGATGTGTCGGATATATCAGACCATTTATCTGACTCTTCAACAGTCGTACCTAAAGGAGTAACATTAGTAAACTCATCATCTGATGATACTGAAGGTCGAGATAAAAGATCAGTTTTATGATGCTGAGGAAAAGAACTTCGATCACGTGTTTCTTTCTTTATATCATGTTCCACAGGGATTAATTCTTCTTGGCAAGAGACTAATTTAGATTGTTCTGATGAAGTTGATTCATTTTTCACATCGGATAAATCTACATCCCGTGTTAAAGAACTTTCTTCTTCTTCTTGACAACTGATCAGTTTTGATGAAGTCGATTCATTTTTCATATCAGTATATTCTACACTGTGTTCCATGGGGATTACTTCTTCTTGACAAGTGACCAGTTTAGAAGTTTCTGATGAAGTTGATTCATTTTTCCCATTAGAAATTTCTACATACTGTTTTAAATAACTTTCTTCTTCTTGACAACTGACCAATTTTGATGTTTCTGATGAAGTTGATTCATTTTTCATATCAGTATATTCTACACTCTGTTCTATGGGAATTACTTCTTCTTGACAAGTGACCAGCTTAGAAACTTCTGATAAAGTGGATTCATTTCTGTTATCCGTTAATTCAACACTGAGTTCTTTAGGAATTACTTCCTCTTGACAAGTGACCAATTTTGATGTCTCTGATAAACTTGATTCTTTCTGTATAGCAATTTCCTTGATTACAGGACATGGATCTTCATTCTTTGTCACTTTAATGGAATCAGGTGAAATATTACATTTATTATTACTTAAATCTACATCGTTTTTACTGACATTTGGATCAATACCTTTAAAAGGAGATGGATAGTTGTCAAATTCGAATGGTTGCTCAGGACCAAAAAGAGCTTCATCAATTAATCCATCACCTTCAATGTCAGACCATTTATCAGAGTTTTCAGTTGTAGCTCCTTGAAGGGAAATATCAGCACAAGTATCACTAATTTGTTCAGGATCAGTAGCAAATGATGATACTGAAATTTCAGTAGCATTTTCACTAGAATGGCGAGATGCAGTTAAAAAGAAATTTTTGTTATCTTCCGATATGTCGACAGCACTCAGCATTGGCGTAGATGATTGGCCAGACATTTGTTTATGCGGCAATGATATTTCTTCATCTTCAAACTCAGATATAGAATATTCAGTATCAGCTTCTATCCAATAATCAGAGTCTCCAGTGGCTTCCAAACGTAAGGACGCTTCCGTTGTTTCTTCATGAGTTTGCAGGTTAGCGATGTCATCATCAAGCACAGCAAATGATTCAACTACATTCAGATATTCACCTAATGATTTTATTTCTGCGAAATGTTCAACAAATATATGTTTCGTAGTATCTTTTTCAGGAGTTTCAGTGGAAGATGTTTCAATTTTACTTTGAAATTTTTCTTCCTGTTCTGTAACAGTCTTAATGATGCTTGTTTTGCACTCACTTGTTTCATTAGATGTTTCACTTAACTTTTGAGTTTTATTTTCAGTAGTGACATTTGGAGTTTCCAAAGATTTAAGTTCATCTGAAGTTTCTTTAGGCAAAGCTGAATTTATACCAACTTTCAAATTAAACTCAGCCTGGATTTCTGATTTATTTAGTACAATATTCTCATTATCAGGTGAAGAAGAAACATGTAACTTCATGCCTTTTAGTTCTATCTTTTCATTTGCAGAGCATTCTTTAACAGAGATTTCAGAAGGCAGTAATTTCTCTGGATTCATGGATGGAAATTCGTCTAATAGACTTAATTCGTCAACATCAGACCATTTCTCATTTTCATCTGATTTAGAGTAGGTGGATATTGCATCAGTATAGGCCTCATCAGAAGTAATGATAAGAGAATCATCATTATCAGTAACATTTGTTTCCTTCAAAGGAGCAGGAGTTACTGACAATTCAGATATACTTAGTTTTTCTTTACATGGCAGTGACAATATTTCAACATTATTGTTTTTAAAATTTTCAGAAATTACCTCTTTGCATTCAGATTTAGATTCACAAATTTGTTTTTTAGCAATATCTTCCTGTTTTGCTACAGGAGTTGAGGTATCAGGAATTTTAATATATTGCTCTGTGCTGTTTATAAAATTTTCTCTATTTGTCTTACTAAGATCAATAGATTCACAAATTTCAGTCTTTTCAAATATTGACTGAGTATTGTCCTCAGCTATCATTGTCAATTCTGTGTTAGCTTCATTAAATGAAGTGTCATAAAGTTTGCAGGGTTTTAAATTTGAATCAATAAATTGTTCTGTTTTTTCTCCAGTTTCAGGTGCTTCAAAATTTTCTGTTGACACTTGTTCGGTTTTTTCTTTAGTTTCCAGTTGCTCCAAATTTTCTGTCAACACTTGTTTCGCTTTTTCTCCAGTTTCCAGTTGTTTCAAATTTTCTGTTAAACAAATCTCAGTTTTAATAGATTGCTCAACAGTATCTTTCTCAATTTTACTGATTTTCATTATTTCTAATGATTCTACTCCTACATCAAAAGATTTTTCTTCACTTTTATTCAGGGTCTTTGAATGCATCTTATGTGAAAAATCTTCATCGATCGAGTTTGTCACCTCGGTATCTGACCATTGTTCACATTCATCAGAAATAGTGTTAAAAGATACAATATCTGTAGAATCATCAACAGCTGTGATTTCTGAAATATCATTAGCAATTTCTTGTTCAACAAAATCTGATGCAGAATTAAACAATACAGCATTTTTCGAGTTAGTGACAGATTGTTCTACATTTTCATCTTCAGGCGATTGAAGCTGAACTTTGGAATCTTTCTTTTCATTAGTGCCACCTAGTATTTCTGAACATTTCACAAAACTGATTTCATCAGTTTCAACGGATTTTAATTTATCAACATTTTCTATTGATAGTTTTTCACTTGAGGTATTTAAATTAATAATAATGTCTTTAGCCATTTCAGAATCTGTAGAGGTTATTTCACCACCACAAGTTGTGAGATTCGCCACTTCTTTTTCTTCATTCTCATCAGGCAAATATTGTTGAGCAACATCCTCAACTATATTAGTTGGACTCTCTAGAACAACGAAAGGACTTTCAGAAAGCACTAACTCATGACTTTGATTAGTTATTTCTTCTTCCAGGACAAAAGTTCCAATGGATTGATTTGAATTAACTGAAGAATCATTAGAAATAATAGAACTATCAATTTTGGATAGATTTTTTTCGACATTTATAACTAAGTCATTGTTATCACTGACATGCTGAAGTTGAATATTAGAAGCCTTGATATCTTTGTCATTGTGTCCAAACAGTTTATCATCAATATTTGAAACTTCAGATGCATAAACATCATACATCATTCCAGAAGTGATATTTTCCACAGCATTTATTGATTCCCTAGTGGGAGTAGTTTCTTTTGCATACGAGAAATCCTCCAAATCTGCTTCCACATCAGACCACATGTCAGTATCTTCTGTTATCGTAGCATGTGAAGCTACATCTGTAAAATCATCATCAGATGTTATATTCAATGTATCCTCAGAGTCATCCCGCATAGAATAAAAAAGCGTTGATTCAGTTCCACTACAAGAGACAAAGCTATTCTCAACATCACTATTTGAAATGCTGACTCTGGTATCTTTTTCTGCTTGTCTAAGTAAATTACTTTCTGACATTTCCGAAAAATCTTTGTCAGAAATTAAGGATAAGTCTAATCTGTTGTTCTCATCATCATTTGTTTTTTCAAGTGTAGACTGAGGCAAAATATTATTCCCATTCTCAACCATAGATGTTTCAATCATTTTTTCAGAAATAATATTTTCAACGAGAGATGATTGATCAGTTTCAGAATGCACTTCAGAAGAGAAAGCGTTTTCTGATAATGCTTCACTTTTTAACATGGCTGTTTTGTCTGAAATAGCATATTCAATGTTTGCTTTTTCGTCATCTACTTGGCTGATAAAATTTCCCATTCTGTCGTTTTCCTTTATAGTCAAATTAGAATCAACTTTTTCATTAATTTCAGAACTAGAAAGTATTTGGGGGTGAGTAAAATGACCTTTGAAATCAACAGTTGATAAATCTTCCTCTGAAATGTCAGCAGTTAAAGATATTAAAGAATCCTTACAAACAGATGTATTGGATCCTGCATAAAATTGTTCCTTAAAATTAACAACAGCAGAGGCTTTATCACTAATTGGCTCACTTGCCTTTTCTACTTTTAGATCATTAATTAAATTCCCTCTAAAATCCACAGTTTCACAACTATTTAAATCAAATGTGTCATGCTTTGAGCTGGACGTATTCTGTTCATAAGCGTCTTTGTTCAACAGGCAGCCTTTAAAGTCAACGAAAAATTCAGAGTCTTTAACAGGTAATGGCTCTGAATTATCAAATTCATTTAATGTAGTACATTCAATTTCTGTTACATCCTTTTGATCAAAGTTGGGAATACCTTTGAAATTTACTGTATAGCTAGATTCTTCCTGATTAAGTAATTCAGATTGCTTAGGTAAGGTACTTAATTTTGGTTCTGTAACTTGTTTAAAAGTTTTTGGGTCATCAATAAAATCTCCTTTAAAATCAACAAAAGAACTATTTTCTTCACAGCAAGCCAAATGCAATGATTTCAAGGATTCAGTATGAGTAGTTTCAATAGTATCACCAACAGAATGTCCTTTAAAATCAACAGTTTTAAAAACTTCAGTATCAATTGAGGGTGAAAACTGTTCACTATTAGATTTAGCACTTTCTTTCACCTCATTGTCAAGAAGTACTCCTTTAAAATCGACTGTAGTGATTTCTTTTTTCGTAAGTAAAGAATAATTTAAATCAATATGTTCAGAGTCACTCACCTTTTTTTCAGCACTAAATGGATGGCCTTTAAAGTCCACAGTTGAATCAATTTCTTCACATTTTTCAGGTAATTGTAAATCAGTTTGATCATGTGAAATTTTGCTATTTATTTCTCTTTGAATGTCAAGATTAGAAATAATTCCTTTATCTACACTAATTAAGTCTTTTATAACAGGATTGAATGCAAACACTGCTGTTTCTTCAACGTCACAATCCTGAGGTAAAGTTAGATTGTTTTCTAGAATAACTTGTGAATCCTTTTGGGAGAGTTCAGATCCCACAACAACTGCCACATCCAAATCTAGCACAGAAGGAAATTTTTCTTTCACATCAACTTCATTTTTAAACTCTTGACGATAACTAAAATTATCTTTTTCCAATGCTAAACTGTCTTTCCTCTGGTCGTCTGAGTTAGAAATAGATTCAGCCTCCATAACATCATTCATACCTGGCAAAAGTTCAAGTTGCTTCTGAACATCTTTAAAACCTTCATTGTCTTTTTCTGCTATGTTGAATTCATTCACAGTTAAATTATTATTCTTGTCATCCTTGTTAGTAGAATCTACAGAGCTTGATATAGCAGAAGCAAATGTTGTTATTTCGGTATGAATATTTAAATCTTCGTCATCAAATTTTTTATCATCTTTATTCTTTTCTATGACAGAGTCTTCAATAGCTTCAAATACTGAGGTATTTAGATGAGTTTTGGTGAATTCCGGAGATGTCATAATTTCTTTCTTATGAAAAAATTTTTCAATAATGTCTTTCTCATTATCAGTTCTGAACTCAGAGATATCTCTTTGATCTAATAAAATAATTTGGTCAGTTACTATGGATTTTGGAGATTCTAAATCTACTTCCTTGTTCTCAGAGTATTTGATATCAGTTTCAGGCATACTACTTACAACTTCTGACACATATTCCTCACTTTCAGTTTCAATATTTTCAGTTGGAAGATAATACTCAGACGTGTCAAGTTGACACATCAAACTTTTTTCTATATATGGTAAATCAGCCTCATTTATTAAAGAAAATTGTGGATCAACAATTATCTCTAATTGTTCTTTTTCAATAACTGGGAAACTTTTTATCTCAGTAGTATCATCAAACAAAACTGGATTTGATGAGTCTTGCAAGTTCTGAGGATCTTTTACTAAAGACATACTGGAGTCAATTTTGTCGGCTGTTATATTTCCATTTAAGTCTGTAGTTTGATTTATATTTATTTCAACAGATTGATCTCTAGTAGTTGATTGCAATTGAGCTTTATTGTCAATAAAAGATGACTTTTGTGAGATTTCCAATTTAGTTCCATTTGTTTCCTGATTCATATTCTGTTCAACATCACTGATATGATCTGTATTAACAAAATCAAAATAACAATTATCATCAGTAAGTGAGATATCACTTTCGATTTCAGATAATTTATCTGAATCATCAGTCATAGTAAAATGAGTAGATATATCAGTCACATCATCACTCTCAAATTTATCAGTAGCAGCAGCATCATTATCTTTTTTAAGTAGCAACATTGGAATGCAGTGTGACCCTTCATGTTCCATTCCGCCCACTCTAGGTTTAATTTGATCTTCGGACTCTTGAATACTTTGGAAGTCTGATAATTGCTGAGACTTACTAAGGTCTAACTCTAAATATTGATCAGAGCTTTCTGATTTTTCAGTGGCACATAATTGTTGATAAGCATCGAATTGTGCACCCACTTCAATGTTCATGCTTTCTATTTGACCTGATGTGAATACAGGTTTAGCCTCAGGTTCTTGAATACTTTGGAAATCAGAAGTAGACTTTTGTAAAGACATACTTGTATCTAGATCTAACCACTGATCAATGCTTTCAGACATTTCCGTAGTTTCAATCGAAGCATCTAACTCTAGTGACTTTATAGCTTCAGTGCTAGATAATGATGGGTCAAGAAATTTTTGAGCTTCATTACTGGAATGAGTTTCATATTCAACAATTAATTCTTCACCTATTGTTTCATAGCAAGGAGTTTCTAACAATTCTAATGGTTGCTGAGTCATCTCATGCTCAAAAGAAGAATTATCATTGTTATTTTGAATATCTTCATCAAAATTAATTGAGTCATCATAGTATAGATATCTAACTATATCAGATGGCACATGAGGAATTTCCTCGGATTTTAAAATTGAATCACCACACTCGGCTTCTTTGTTTAATCCTAACTCCTGTCTTATTTCCGTAAGAAGATTTTGCTCTGTTGAAGGTACATCAGTTCTAGGCACTTCAAACTCTTGTGTTGTGTCTTTTACTGAAACAATTTCTAAAGTTTCAGAGTTTTCTGTGACTAGAGCAGTTGTATTAACTTCTGAAGTTACTAATTCAGCACTAGAAATTATTTTTTCATCAACAAAAGGAAGAATTTCTGGTTTCAGTTCATCAGTGCTTGATGATTGCATTTGGCTCTCATTTATATTTTCTAAGTGATCCTGTTCATAAAGTTTACTCTTTCCTGAAACTTCCACTTTTGAAAAGATCTCTATTTCAGATGAGACTTTGACAGATTTAGTTTCAAAGTAATCTGATTGTTCGTCCTGAGCAGGTATAGAATTTTCATTTGCATCAGTTATAAAATTCTCTTCAAACTGGACAGAATCATTTAATGGCGCTGTAGGAATTCCAGAGTGTTTAAATTTTGTTTCACTATACTCTGCATCTGAAGCAATTTCTTTATTTTCCACAAGAACATGTTCTTTATTCTCCAAAGATTCATTAGAACATTCATTATTAAAAACTTTTTTCTTATCTGTAGCAGAATCATTAGCCTTTAGAGTCGCATCTGTATTTACTGAACTATATGAAGGGATACTTGGGGAAACTTCATCAGATATGGAGCTAAGATGAGTTGTAGCAGAATCATTAGCCTTTAGAGTTGCATCTGTATTTACTGAACTATATGAAGGGATACTTGAGGAAACTTCATCAGACATGGAGCTAAGATGAGTTGTTTCTTCACTTTTGCCGATGTCAACTAAACTATCAAAAAATTTGTCTTCTAGATTTACAGATACAGACTGTTTCATGACATTTATGCATTCCACAAATTCATCATTTTCAAAACTAGGTTGCTGGATGATATTTACAGACTCAACAAGTTTATCATTATTTGGGGTCTCAAAGATAGATTTTTCAACAACAACTGAACTATGAACAAACTCATTTTCGTTATTTTCAAAGCTAGAGTCTTTTATGACATTTGAACATTCAATGAACTCTTGATTTTCTTGATCATCAAAGCTATATTGTTGGGTGACATTTGAACATTCAACATATTTATTTCCTAGATTCTTCAAACTGGGCAGTTTGCTGACATTTGTACATTCCATGAATTCATCATTGACTTCAGTCTCATAGTTAGATTGCTTGATGACAGATGCACATTCGCTGAATTCATCATTTTCAAAACTGGACTGTTTAATGGCACTTGTACTTCTAACATCTACTAATTCATTATTTAATACAACTAATTCATTATTTTTTGGGGCATTAAAGTCAAGCTGTTTTTTGAAGATTTTGGAATTTTTATTTAGTTGTTCGCCAAAATCTGAACTAGTAATGGGGAAATACTCAGAGACGCTATCAGAATTAAAATAACTTTCTTCAGCCAGGGATGAATCAGCATCATCAAATCTTTCAACATCTTCATTTTCTGTGATTAGAGCTTGCAAGTTTGAATTCTCAGTAGAGAATGCATCAAAAAAGTTTTCATTTTCAATTATATTTCTTTCCAAGTTCATAACACATTCATCGAGTATATCTAAAGCTTCATAAAAACTTTCTTTTCTTTCTAGATCACTTTGTACACATAAAGGCAAAGACCCATAAAAGTACTCCACAGTGGGTGTTGAACTTTCACACTCAATTTCATTATCATTTATCGTTTCTGCAAGAGCATCATCAACATCAACAAACCTCATATCATATTCAATGGATGGAAATTTTTCTATTGAAACTGGAGTAACAGCCCTTTCAATGGTATTAACATTAACTTCTGCAGATTGAGCACTTTTTATATCCAAACTTCTACAGAGATTGTTCTCTTCAGTAATCTCATTCAAGACTGATTTTTCTCTTTCAACAATTGTACTAACAATTTTTTCACCTGAATGAAATTCAATTATATTTTCAACGTTTTCAATCTGAATCTCTGAGTTTAACAAAGTCTCTTTTGTTGAACTAGTACAAATAGAAGCTTTTTGATTCGAATAATTTTCTTTCTGTATTACAATGGGTGCTACTGTGCTTCCAATATTGTCATTAAAAACAGCACTTTTGTTAGGTAGACTGTCTGGCACATATTCAGTAATTTCAAAATGATCCTCATCCAAGAGTGATGATGCTTTTTCAATACCTGCTTCAATAACAGATTCAACATATTGACTAAGTATTAGAACTGATTCAGCTCCAACCTTTTGTACTTGATTATGTGCTTGCGATGCACAAAGAATTTCTAAATTAACTGTGCTTTGCACAGGAGTATTTAAAGATAATTCAGTTTCTAACTGTTCTTCAAAATCTTCATGGGATACTGCAATTTCTTTTACATTTTCAGATTCTTCTGAATAATTCACATTTGAGTCAAGTTTTAAAGTTTCTTCATTATAAATGACATTAGCTTGATCAGTTTCATTTGATTCAAATTCTTTTATTTTTAACTGTTTTGAATCAGGTGTTAAGATGTTAGTAACACAAATATCAGAAACACACTGCAGGTTCACAGTCAGAGATTGGGTGCTTGATACACCATCCTTAGACTGAACTCCAGCATCTTTAATAATATCACATTCTTGAAATACCTCAAGAAATGAATTATTCAAAGAGTGTTCCAAGATATCCACATCTGATTGAGTTCTTTCGATCTCCATATAACTTTCATTTGACGTTGTGCTGCAAGATGGTATGGTTTGTTTCTTTTCACAATGCATTTTCTTATTCCGCATGAAATGCTTGCCTGTCTCGCTTCCTGAACTAAAACCTGTATCAGAATCTACATCAGCACAAAGGAAATACTTCATACTCTTATTTTTTTCACTATCTATATCAAGCTCATCATGGGAAGAAGGTGATTCAAGATAAATATCAGAATCTGAATCTTCAAGTGATTCAGAAGTACTAGAATTTTTCTCTTCACTATTTAAAGGAGTCATCAAACTTTTCTGCACTGTACTAGCAGTTGAATGCATTTCTGAATCATCTTCATAAAAATCTTCAACAAATTCTAATTCTTGACCGGATGGTGACAGGCTATTCACTTTTAAAATAGATTTATTCTCTATATAAATATTACTAGAAAGGGGATAAATATTTTCAGATATCATAGAACACTGAACTCCGATTTCTGATTTAATTGGTTGATCACTAGTCTTGTTGTCAAAAGGAATGTTAATAAAAGAAGGGATAGTAAATGTATCATCAAATGAATCAAAAAATTGTTCTTCTTCAAAGCTTTCTTCTGTTTGGCAGCCTTTGCTAGTTTTGTATATTCTCTGTTTAAGAGAAGCTGAAATTGAAACTTCGGTCTCACTTATTCGGTCAGAAACAATGCCATCCTCCTCTTCAGTCATCTTTGATTTTTGAAAAGTTGATACATCAGATAACTCTTCTTGAGATGATAATGTTTCATAATGATCTCGTTCAGATTGAAAATCTTCTTCAGGGTAGATATTTGCAGAAACAAAGTTAGTATCAGTTTCCTGAAATGAAGCTGCTAATTCCATTTCTGTAGAAACCAAAGAAATATTCTGTTTCGGCAAAAAATCCTTCTCTTTCAACTGACTGCCATTTTCAAATGTGTCAGGAAGTAAATTTAATTTTAAACCATCATCAGAACTAGTAGAAATTGCGACAAAATCTTCCTTCTTCATATCAACAAAGTCTTCAGATTCACTGATATTGCCTGAACTTGTTGCTGAGGACTCTGAAGCATTATATCTTGCGTAAATACTTAAAAAATCCTTCTTTGTTTCTAAAGGTTCACTCGGTATTACATGATCAAACCACTCATCATAAAAATGAGACATCAAAGATAAATCTGGCTCTTCTGAAATTTGTAAGTGAGGAGGATCAGTGCTTTTATTAAGATCTGAAGAATTAGAAATTGTCTCTGTTTCTTCAAGGAAAAGCCCACTTTGTTGAGTTGTGTCACTTTCTTGAGATAAAAATTGTCTGAACTCTCCATGTTGTTCGGTATCTGCAATTTCAGATATAGCATCTATTTCTTCAAATGAATATGTTTCTGTGGTAAGATCTGATTTTTTGACATCCGTCTCTTGAGAAATGTATTTAGAATCAGATATAGGTGAGTTTAGACAGTATTCATTTAGATAATTTTCATTGTCACCAGACTTTAAATTTTCGGTTAAAAATAGATCATCAGAAAAATTTGATTCGTTTTTATATTCAACATCATATTCCAATTTGATATTTGCATATGGTTCTTTTATGTTTTGACACTCATCACTAGTTGCATATGCTTCTGTTGATGAAGATAGTTCGGTACCAGGTAAAAGAGATGTCAATTCACTTGTAACATTTTGCTCTGCAATGCTTTCTGATTTGTTGAATTGTAAAGAACTTTCTGTAACTGAATGGCATAACACAGCTAAAGGCAATGGGGAAATAGCGTTTTCTAGGTAACTTTTTTGGATTGGAGAAATGTCTAAGGGTGTAACATTATCTAAGTGACTTTCATTTGAATGAGTAACATCTGAAGAGGTAACATTATCCAGATAACTTTCTTGAGAATGAGATATGACTGAGGGCGTTACATTATCTAAGTGACTTTCATTTGAATGAGAAACATCTGAAGAGGTAACATTATCCAGGTAACTTTCTTCTGAATGAGAAATGTCCAAGTTTGTAACATTTTCCAAATAATTTTCTTGCGAATCAGAAATGTCTTTATGCAACAATTCAACTGCAGAAATATCTTCATCACTTAAAGATTCAGGACCTGTTATTTGATTACGTGCCAAATCTGCAGCACATAATTCTTTTAAACTTAATATTTCATGCTGCAAAGAAGTGTCCAGTTCGCCAGAAACAAGCTTGTTGATAGAGATTTCTACAGAATCATCACTTAGTTTCTCGTGATTCAATTGATTTTCACTGAATTCTTCTTTACACAATACTTCATTTGGTGCCACAAAACTTTCAGCGTAATTCTTACTGTGATCAACATTTTCCCCAGCTTGATCAACCATTGTTACAGTCAAGGGAGTAACTGTTTCAATTTCACCAGGAATAATTTCCGATTCGTTTATAATAAGTTTCTCTATTTTTGTAATATCAGGTGAATATGTTTCTTTGTTGGAATCTTGCAATGATTTTTCTATAAAACTAGCATTCAATGAGTTTTTTCTCTCTTCATTTAGTTTCCATTCATATTCACTATCATATGTAGTATCCTGATAGTTATTTTTAACATTGAAGTTTTCTACTTCATTAGTTGTGGCAATGCTAAAATTTCCTGGCAAATACAAATCACAATATTCATCTATTACATTCTGAGACTGCTCAACAAATTGAAATTCATCCTCATCACAACTATCATGAATCAAAGACAAATTATTATCTTCATGATGCAGTATATTTTTATTGGATGATATTGTTTCATATCTTGGAATATTTTTTTCAAGAGATATTACAGAAGGATCAGCACTCATAGAATCATAATTTTTGTTATTTAACTTGCAGTCAAGCTCAAGAAACGTCTCATTATTTTCTTCAGCAATTACATTTTCCATCAAATTACCAGGCTTTATTTCGGTAAATGGTACATAATTTGGAGTATTTTGATTATTAGTGTCTTCTGATGAGGAAATAACCACGTAATCCTCAAATGGTTGAGGCATAGATACATCAGATATAACATTTACATTTGAAGATTTTTCAGTCTCATCTAGTAGAAGTTTTTCTTCTCTAAAATATGCATTAAATATATTATTCAACTCTTCAGAGGACTGGGTATTAATCTCAGAGGATAGAGATCTTTCAGATATGTCAGAGGGCTGTGACAGGACTTCACAGGGTAATTCACATGGATCGTGACCTTGAAATATTTTGAAGTCCCCACTACAGGGAGGAAGTTTTTTTTTAGCCAATTCACTATGCTGAATGGCAGTGGGGAATTCCTTGGATACAGTATCACTTGTTGCACCATTTTGGATCCTATTTTTTCTTGGAGGAGGAGCAATAGGAGGCAAAGATTCTTCAAAATGGACAGTTCTTACTCGGTCATCTACATTTACATTTGATTCTCGTAGGCTACCAGCAGCCACAGACATGCTTAAATTCTGAGTCATAATTTCAGAGCTATCACATTCTTCTGAAATGGGTGGCATTGAACCTACCATAATAGGCGATATATTTTCTCCATCATAATCATATGGACTTGAGAATGATTGTCCTTGTAGCATTTGCGATTGAGATAATGATGGCTGGGTTACTTTTGATTTTACTCCAGTGGGTTTGCTTTTAGTTTTCTTTGGAGCGGGGACTTCATTATATGAACCAAAAAAGTAATCTTCGGCAAATGATAGAGTCTCAACTGGAGCTGTTTCCTGAGCTGCAGCTGTATCAATGATTTGAGGTTTAGTTGCTGCAGTTACCTGGACTGGGAGATTTTGACTAAACTGAGTAGCGTGAACCTGAACAGGTTCTACATTAGGTTTTGAAACAACTATTTCTCCTTTCTTTAGGGTGGGAAAAGAAACTTCATTTGAACCAGTTTCTGATTTTGAAGCTATTTCTTTAGAATCTAACTTAGAGCCAAGAGTAGATTCAGCACTCTGTTCCTTAGTTTGCTGTTTAGCAACTGGACTTGTCTTTTTTTGACTTGAAGGTAATGGTTTAGGCATGGCAGGCATACCAGATTTGCCTATAATTACAACAGTTTTTTTCTTTGGTTTTGGTACAGTTATCTCATTATAACGCCCGAAAAAGTAATCAGCGGCAGCTGAGGTTGCTTCCATTTCAGTAAACATTAACTGCTCTTCATTTTCATTTGAAACTTTTGCTTCAATATTTTGTGAGACATCAACAGCTGGAAGTTCATAAGAATCCTTAATAATGGAAGGTTCAGTTGTTATACTGGAAGTAACAATTGGTGTAGTCTGAGTTTCATTTAATTTATGCTGCTGTGGATGTTCATGAATATTATAATAGAAAGCAGAATTACTTGTTTCATTATTTTGTTCCATTACTTGTTGATTGTTTATTCTTTCCACTTCTGAAAGCATTTGCGCCATCATTTGGTTATTTTGCTTAACGGAAGTCACATTGTAGTAAGAAGATGATGCAGGTATATTTTCACTAACGTTTGCAGCAGAAGTTAAAGTTGTTGTTACCTGATTAGAAAACTGATCAATCACTTTTTCAATGCTTTCCTGGTCACTTGAATGAACTTTTTTAAGACTATCACTCAGAGAAATTTCCTTTAGCTCTGCTTGTGAATTGGGTGCAGGAGTTGTTTCCACTTTTGATGCTTTGAAAAGCTGAAGAGGTCTAGCCGTACCTTCTCTAAACGCTTTCGGGGATGAAATATCATCTTTATGCCCACGAATTCCTTCAGGTGTTGGCAGTTCAGGATCAAATTCAAAAGAGCGCTGTTTTTTAGAAGCATTTTCAATACTGAGTATAATATTTCCTTCATTCTCAAAGTCAGCAAGATCATCTTCAAATTCTATTTCAGTTTCATGCTTTGAATATTTCCTGTGCATTTTTTGACGAATAATCTTTATCTCTGGATCAGACTCTGAATCAGCAAAACAGTTAGAATCTGATTCATTAGATAATGATGTCACGGGTGATGGCTCTTTGGAAAAGTCTCTCTCATGAGTTGGTATGGTAAGCCTTGGTGGTTTCGCTGGAGGAGATTCAAGCTCTTTTTCTTGAGAAATGTTTGAAGCAACTGTTTCTAATTTCAATTCAGTTGTTTTATCAGTCTTAGTGCCTGCCAATTTATTAGCTTTATCGGGAACAGCATAAATGTCCATTTTAACATTTTGTTCAAAATGTTTATCTTTTAGTTTCAACGGCAAAGCAGGGGGGACTACAACTTCTTCTGAAGATACTTCACAAGTTTGAGAAACATTTTTCAAAGCCTCTTCTATAGCTGAAACATTCAATTTTGATTTTCTCCTTGCAGGAGGTCGTGGGGGAGGGATATCAGGAGTAGTTTTCTTTTCAGATACTTCGACTTCTTTAAAAGTACCTTTACTAGTACCCATAGTACTCTGAACGATATTTACATCTTCAAAAGCCAATTGTTGTGGCTCAGTTGGCAAATCTTCTTCTAAAACTTGCTTTACAACAGATTCTGTTAAATCGTCTAAATATTCTTTATGCTCTTCCCTAACAGTGGTTGAAACTTGACCTTCATCTGAATGAGGTTTATCAGATAAATATTGCTCATAAGCATCTTTTATTTCCTCAAATTCAATCTTTTCCCATTCTGTGTCACTGTTTTCTTGTTCATGCACTATTTGCTCTTTAAGTTCATCTTGTAAGGGTGCAGTTTCACTTTGTAAACTTTCCTGATCTTTCAATTCTACAGTTTCTAACAAATCTGCCTCGTCATCTTTTAAAAGATCGAGGGCATTTTTTTCAACTTCGATCCAATCTGGTTCAGCAAAGGATTTGCTTGACAGATCAAACTCAGTAGGATAATGTTGCAGAGGTGAATCCCTCATTGCAGTATCATCAAGCTCAACACTTTTTGACATAGCTTCTGGATTCATTTCTACAGCAAGGTTCTGTTCATTTGCCGCTTCTTCTTCTGCTTCTGACAAATTTTTTTCTAGATTGACTTTTACCCACTGCTCAAACTTTTCATCTTGTTCCAATTTAAGGCGATCTACTTCACTTACATGAACTTCAATTACACTTGGAGGCTCATCCTCTTCAAACACATCATCTTCCAATTCCTCTTTTTCCCATAAAGAAGCCATCTGCATTGCTTCCTCTGCTAATTCTTTCTCCATATTGTGAAATTTCTTTTGAAGTGAAACCCACTGTCCCTCACCTTCATCTTCCCATTGTTCATCTGAATACTCTTCAATCCATTCTCCTTGGGAATCTTCCCAGTTAATATCATAATCTACTGGCAAATCATCATTTTCACCTTTTACAACATCCTTATCAATTTTAGGGTCAGGAATCGTTTCATCTTTTTCCTTTTCTTCAAGTACTGATTCATGATCATAGTCAGCATTTAGAAGAACGGTGTCTACAGGTTGAGGTTTTTCCAAAATTTCACCTGTTTCAGGTGATTGCAAACTCTCAGCTCTGCTGAGGCTCGGTGGTTCTAATGGAGATAAAGGAATTTCAGTCTGTAATTCAGGCCCTCCAGTTTCACGAACTAATTCTTTCTCTTCCCTTGCTTTCCTTCGTTCACTTTGAGCCTGTCTTATTGCAGATAGCTTTGTGAGGAAATCAGATTTTTTCTTTTCAGTTCTTGGATCAGGAGATGCATTTAACCTTCCTCGCTTTGAAGCTGCTGAAGCGTCTCCAGCCTCCTCGATTTGGAGAGATAAATTTAAATCTTCACTATCTTCACTCAAACCTGGACTTAAGATAAATTTATGTCTCTTATTTGAGGCTCGGAATAAATCGGCATAGGCAAGCTCTACATTACCTTCATTATGTGCTAGGGCATCAGAAATTTGTTTTTGTGTAAAGTTACCCCTCACAGTAAGCTCTAAAATCTGAAACGAAAAAAAAAATTATTCAAATAAGATTGACATAGTAAAATGTACCTGTTAAAACAAGCTAATATAGCAAAAAAATTTAATAAATCACAAAGTAAACTATATCTATTTTGGTGTCATAATTTGCGTTTCATTTATATTATTTTGCTTTACATACCTAGCATAAAGTAAAACCTCGCTTTATTTGAAAGCTAATAAATATTAAAATAAATTGTAAGAAATAATTTGATTACCATTTTAATCTGGCAGAATGAGTATTTTCTCATTTGAATTTATAATAAATGTTCCAAACCTTTTGTTTAAAAAAATACTAAATTCTGTCTCATCCTTAGCCACCATAATGTGTCACATGATCTCAGGTGAACATTTTTTTTTTATTCTCTTGAAATATGATAATGTTAAAGAAAGCATAATAAAAATTTAACATAACAAACAAAATATTTACACAACAGTTTTAAATAATTGATACTTATAAGACATAAATCCAAACTAAAAAATTTGGAACTACAAATGTGCAAAAAACAATCAAACTTAAAATTAATTAGTAACAACACTTTGAAAAATCACTAATTCATTTTAAAAAATTACTAAGCAATTATTTAATTAATAGCTTGTATAGCATTTCTTTAATCTGTTTTGAAATAAATATATGAAATTAATATTTTCATAAATTTCCAAGGTACTAAACTTGAAACTTAAGCAGAAAACTAAGTTTCTACAGTAAATAATAACTGCTTTCTCCCAAGTTTTTAAATAAAACATGGAATGCAGCAAAGAAAATACTATAGAATTTCATGCAGAATCAAAATTTTTAAAGAATTTAATAGCTTTTTGGAAAATATAGAAATGTTACATTTTAGGTTTGATTAAAAAATGAAATACTATTATTTTTCTTGCTGCCAATATTGAAACAAAAATGTTTTAATTTTAGATATCTAGAAATTATTTCATTAAAGATTATCAAATTTGAAGAGTGTTAGTTTATTTCTATCTTATTTAAACTCTTCATTTGTGGACTAAAGTGCAATAATTTATTTTTTCTTATTATACAGTTAAGTTGTATAATTAAAATTTAATTTGGGCACTCATTTTTGCACAATTAATTTAATTCCGATAAAATTTAAATCAGCTACCAATTGTTTCATTGTTTGCATAGATTTATATAGATCTGATTTTTTTCAGTATCATTTTCAGGGAATAATAAAATAGTCTAAATAGCTTCAGAGAGATTACGATTGTATTTTTAATTTAAATCTTGCACTTTTAAAATGCTACTTAACATGCTTCAAAGTTACTATTTAAAAGTAAAAAGACTATAGTACTCTGAGTTACAAATTGCAACAAAATATAATAACAAAATTATCACCTTTCTTTGACGATTAGTGTAACAATTTATTTTTTCATATTATACAGTTAAGTTGCATAATTAAAATTTAATTCAGGCATTCATTTTTGCACAATTAATTTAACTCTGATAAAATTTAAATCAACTACCAATTGTTTCATCGTTTGCACAGAATTATATAGATCTGATTTATTCAGTATCATTTTCAGGGAATAATAAAGTAGTCCAAATAGCTTCAGAGAGATTACGATTGTATTTTTAATTTAAATCTTGCATTTTTTAAATGCTACTTAACATGCTTCAAAGTTACTATTTAAAAGTAAAAAGACTATAGTTTTCTGAGTTACAAATTGCAACAAAATATAAGAACAAAATTATCACCTTTCTTTGACGATTTTCGATGCATTCAGTGACAGCATCCCATATGTCACCACGATGAATATGAAGTGCCTCCTTAGCTTCGGACTTTGATAATGTACCAACATCATTTTCCTCATTATCTTCCCCATACTTTGCAGCCAAAGCAATAACATTTTTTATCATGGAAGACCAATTGTCTTCAAGCCAAATAACTGGATTTTCTCTCCCACAATGCAAATAGGCAACATGCAAGTCTTCCAGACTGAATCCACATCTCTCAGCTTCCTAAGAAATTAATAATTGCATTATTTTAGGGAAATGAACCGCTCTAGAGACCGAAACGAAGTTTTCAATCAGTTTTGAAAATCAAGAATGTTGATAACAGGTATAATACTCAATAGCAATAAATGGACAAGAGAGTAACAAATAAATAATAAATTTAAAGCAGCTTAAATAAGATAATGAGACATTAAATCAGTAAATATTTATACATTACTGATTTACATAGATATTTTCTCTGTTACTATTACTGATTTATATATTATTATTTTTCTATTACTAATTATTTCTCAATTACTGATTATTTCTCTATATAGTAATTTATACAGATATTTTTTTTTATTTTTTATTTCCAATGGCAGAAATTGAGAAACTCTTAACAAGAAGAATAAACCTAGATAAGAGAAAAAAGTCAATGACTCATTAGCAGATGCCTAGCACTCCAATATCTGTTCACTTCGGAGTCTCCGTGTATAGCCGAACATCCCATCAAGTACTTCCTATCCATTACTTCGAATTTCCTACAGAGTGGGCAATACGGACTCGTAAAAATATCAATGCGGTGGAGGTGGTATTTATACAGATATTATAGGACTGATTTTTATTTTATATTTTCAATATTTCATTTTTTATATTTTCATTATTATTTATATATAAGGGCAAAACCTGTATACAATGTATAATCCAGAGTAAATCCTTCATATAATTTTTTGGAATCCTTGTCAAAAATTAAAGTCTAAAAAGTCTACATATTAGGTGTCTTAAATTAATATTTAAGCGAGAGAAAACAAAAACGGGATTGAAATTACAATTAAAAACAACTGAGAAAGGCGACTCTAAAAAAACTGATTTTACTTTTAAATCAGTTCTCTATTTCCTTTTAAAAAGAACAGATTGAAAATTGCATTATTGGCTATATTAAAAGTACAATTAACAATACAAATGAAATAATTGTAAAATTGTAAATTTTAAGTGTAAGTATGATTACCTTTACAGTGTGTAAAAATTGTAACTCTTGAGTGTGAATAACATCTGGAACTTTATCACTTTTTAAATCATCAAGACTTCTATGAAACTTTTGTTTTGGATGGACTTCTAGTTTCTTACCCTAAAAAACAATGTGAATAATATGGATAAAAATGATGAAAAAACATTATTAATTTCAATAAATTTATATGGATAAGAACCGCCATGCTGTAATAAGCATAGCATATTTGTACCTATTTAGAGCAGTAGGTAGGAATTTAGGTATTTATTTACATCACACTAGATCTGCACAATGGGCTAGTAACTAACATTTCAGATTTAATGTAAATATTATAACTATTTTATAAATAGCAGTGATAGTTTGAAAAAAATTTTTATAAAAAAAATTGCATCACACATTTTTTTTAAATCAACAAGTAGTTAATATAGTTAAGTAAAATATTTCATGTACAAAGAAATAATTAGTAAAGATTCTGTTTAAAGACCTAAATTCTACTCCTACAAAATGACTCCAGATTGATCTAATTAAGTAATAAATTTCAAGTGAGAAAATAAGATAAAATATTTAAAATTATATATTCACAAATGTATAAAAATAACACATTTCAATGTTATTAGTTCAGACTTGTAACTGGTAAATTTTTTTACGAAGTTTATGAATTAAAATTATAGTCATAAATATAAGATATTTTATGTATATATAGAACTGTTTCTAATAAGGCAGCAGTGCATACTTTTAATTAAATACTTCCGTAATTTACTTTAAAAATAATATAAACTTTTAAAAAAATTAAAAACTTAAGAAAGCAATATAAATAGAAAAGGTATACTTAAGCGTAGAATATAAATAGACAAAATAGAAAAAATAAAGTTTTAAGAATAGGAAAGATATAATTAAAAATAGTATATAAATAGGAAATATATACTTATAATAGAATATAAATAGAAAATGTAAAATAAATAGGATATAAAATTATCTATAAGAAACTTAAGAATAATAACAATATAAGAATAATAACAATTAAGAACAATATAAATAGAAAATATATACTTAAGAGTAGAATATAAATAGAAAATATATATTTTTAAGAATAGAATGTACATAAAAAATGTAAATTAAGAATAGAACATAAATAGAAAATATATACTTATGAATAGAATATAAACAGAAAAAATATACCTAAGAGAAGAATATAAATAGAAAATATATACTAAAGTAGATATTTTCTATTTATATTCTAAAATATATACATATGAATAGATTATAAATAGAAAATATATACCTAAGAATAGAATATAAATAAAAATATATACTAAAGTATATATCTTCTATTTATATTCTATTCTATTCTATATGAATAGAATAGAATATAAAGTGAAACTTCTCCTAAAGGCCACCTCTATTTAAGGGCCACCTCTATTAAGGGCCAATATTTTGAGAAACGAAAATTTTCCGCACAGACATAACGTTAATTTTCCTCCCTTTATAGGGCCACATTTTCCTCACTACCTTCAATAAAGGCCATTTTTTTATAAATTTCTCAAAAAAGCCATTTTTTTACATTTTTCTTCTCATAAAGGCCATAAATCTAAACAGGTATGTCCAATTCTTTAACTAAAAGATAAGAGTTCAGGAATTCCAAACACCTGCACTTTCAAGAAAGAAGGGGGGGGGTAGGGGGAGGACTTAACACAATGAAGACTCAGAAGCTTTTCCATAAGTGAGAAAACAGGTGTTCATCACACTCTGTTTGACCTTTCAACTTCCCTTTTATGCTGAAAAATGTTGAGCATTGGGGGAGGAACTTGACCTTTTGTTGTGGGTGCACAAAGGATAACAGGTTTAAGCCTTTGTACTCTTTTGATAGTAAGAAACTAGAGTCCTCATTTACTATAAGTGTGAAGGCATATTGAAGCACAGTTTTTTACACTAGAAATTTTATGCTCAGGCACAAGTAAAATTAAAAATCATGGCACCTAAATCAAGCAAAAGATTACATTTGGATTTGAGTGATAAAATCAAAGTTCTTAATTATCATGATCAATGAACATCTGCAAGAAAATTGGCTTCACAGTTTAATTGCAGCAAGAATCAAATAAACAATGTTGTTAAAAACAAAGAGAGCTTACTGAAAAAATATGAAGATTTTAAAAATCGTGGGATAAAGAGAAAGAGAAATGAAAAGTTCTGTGATATAAATGAAGCTGTAATTCAGTGGTTCAGATGTGCTAGGACTAAAAACATCCCATTAAGTGGTACTTTAGTGAAAGAAAAAGCCATTCAGATTGCAGAATCACTTGGTGTAGAAGACTTTTGTGCAAGCAACGGATGGTAAATAAGTTTTGTAATAGAAACAATATTGTTATTAAAACATTATGCGGTGGTTCAGCTAATGCTGATAAAGATTTGTGTCAAGACTGGAAATCAAGGCTTCCAATCATTCTGGCAGGCTATGAAGATCGTGATGTTTATAACTTAAATGAGACAGGACTTTTTTTCCGTGCCTTACCTACCAAAAGTTTAGTTGAGAAAGCAGAAGAGGCCAAAGTAGGAAAATAAGCTAAATAGAGGCTCACTGTGTGTTTTTGTGCTAATGCTGCTGGTGAAAAGGAAAAGCCCATCGTCATTTGGTACTCCAAGAAACCTCGTTGTTTTAAAGGTAAAGATTTATCACAAATGGGAGTAAAATATCATCATAATAAGAAGGCATGGATGACCATGGAAATATTTAAATATTGGTTGATTAGTTTTGACAACAAAATTACAAATCAAGGCGTGATTCTTTTTTTGGATAATGCACCATGTCACTCATTTTACGAAAACTTGAAAAGTGTAAAGCTTCAATTCTTGCCTCCAAATACTACGTCTGAAATTCAACCTCTAGACCAAGGAGTTATACGCTGTTTTAAATTAGAATACCGACGTTTTGTTTTGCGAAGACTCCGTTCTCTTATAGACAGCGATAAAAAATAATCACAAATCATTCAATCTATAACAGTATTAGATGCCATTCGGTGGATTAGACACGCCTGGGAAGATGTAAAAGGACAGACAATTGTAAATTGCTTTAAAAAATTCGAGCTAGGCAATACAGCTTTAGAGGCCACTATAGATGCAGCTGATTTAGAAAATGAAGTGGTTGAACTTTCAAAAGCTGCTGCAATTCAATATGACCCAAATTCAGATAAATATGAAAATGGGCTAGAATGTTAAGATGATTTATCGGAAGATTGGGAGAAAAGATTTATAGATGATTTAGATACAGGTAAAACATTAATATTTATTGTTTTAAGTTTTAAAAAAATACAATATTTTTTTAAAACTTATTTGTTCAATTTTTTCAGGAGTTCAGTCTGATTCAGATAATGAGAATGAGTCCCCCGTGCCATATTTATCAAACCAAGAAACGCTAATAGAAGTAAATAAACTGATATCCCAATCCAAGGCATTAATAACTGATGCGAATTTAACTAATTTGTTTCATAGAGTTAAGGAATCATTAGAAACTAAAATTGCTTGCGAAAAAATTGTAAAAAGTAAAAAACTTCAATTGAAAATTTTTTTAAACATGTATAAAAACTTAAAATGTTAATAAACAGTTTTTTTCTACATAAATTTTGATTTCCTCATTTTATTTTCTGGTCACCCCCATTTAAGGGCCACCCCCCATAAGGGCCAATTTTCAATTGAACGACAGGTGGCCCTTACCAAGAGGTTTCACGTATATATATTATATTATATTCTATATAAATAGAAAATATATACTAAAGTAGAGAATATAAATAAAAAAAATATATTTAACTATAGAATTGCCTAAATCGAAAATTTAAGAGGAGTTTGAAAAATGTACAAAAATCAATTATTACCTTTTTGTTTTTCATTCTTCTATCTAACTTATCCATTGATCCCCACATTCCATCAAAGTAATCTTCTTTAGTCAGAGTTGCTCCATATTCAGGCATATTGTGAGGTTTGTAATACATGGGATCCGTCATTAACCAAGGATGAGAAAACCCATGCATCACATCTTCAGGTGGTAAACTAGAATCTCTGCCAAGAGATTGGGATTCATTATATAATGAGGCAGATCGTGGCAAGGGGCTACGACTGCGGCCACGCTCGTACAAAGACTGAGTACTAAAGCTAGTTCCTCGGCCCCAGCCACCAGCTCGTCTATTGTGATAAGGTGGTGCAGACATTCCAGACATGAGAGATTCAATAGAATGAGAGCTTATCATAGGGTCTGTTGCCACAGAACAGTGTTTGGGTATTTCTTCCACTTCCGTCTGAACAGACATTTCGTGCCTTGGAAAAATGGAATCTGTTGATGACGCCATTGACTTGCAGATGAGATTTTGAGTCTGAACATCTGTTGATTTCGTTGTGGTGGAAGTTTGTGTTTCAGTTGTGAGCATCAAAGCAGGATCAGGTGTCACTGGTGTTTCTGCGGATTGCTTGAATGCCTCTTCATTCTCTAGGCTAGTTTCAAGACTGTCTTGGCATATATCATCATCATTCTAGAAAAATATGAACAGAGCATGTGTATTGTGTCATAAAAAATATTCATTGCATTATTAGACATTATTAGCTAAAACAAAAAATAATTAATTTATAATTATTGACAAATGTGCCGACTGAAATCTTATAGGCATTCAATAGTCTTAAACTGTATATACTTATGAGAAGTATTATTGTCATTTATGAATGTCATTTTAAATATTGTAAATAAAGTAATATTAGATATAATAATGCTTTCTAAGTGTTCAAGGTATAGATTTTATCATCTGACAAAAATTATATCACATATGAGCGCTCACAAATAAGATTCAAAATAAAAGCAGGAAAAATTTCAGACAATTTAAAGAAGCAAATGATACTCGTTTTCAAAGTATATTAATAATTAGCAAAAAGTTTAAATATTTTAGAGCTTTGTGTAAGAAATTGAAAGGAATTGCTGAATAAAAAAAGAGAAAAAAAAGTTTTAAAATGCTAAACAAACTGTTTTAAACATTTAAAAATCAATTATGGGTTAAATAAAGACCATCTTTTGTTGATTTCAACTGGCTTTTAAATTAAAGAACTGAATACTAAAGAGTTATGTTATAGTAAAGTTAATTACCTACTTCTATGCACATTTGTATAAAACCAACATAGACAGATGTAATAATTGCCATATAAATATGCCGGGAACATTTATTTATTGTTCTAGTTACACCAATAGGTAGAGTTAACATACATTATGCTTGTCAAAAAAGATAAATATAAAATACAACTCCAAGCATAATAATAAAAAGAAAGAAAATGTAAATTAAAAGCCCCTAATAGAACAAAATAAAAGCATTTTAAACAAAAAAAATTACAAAGAGCAAACAAGATAAATTCAAATTAACACCAAAAAGTTAATTAGTTGATTTCATGCTATAAACCAAATCAAATGTACAAGAATGGCTTAATTTAACTCATGCTTTGATTTCATTTTTGCATCAAAAGGCAAACTAGGCATATCATATAAATCATAGTATGCAAAATGTTTTTGTAAAGAATGCAATGTGCAAAAAAAAAAAAAAAATTGAAAGAAAGGTAGAAGTGTTGAAAAATACAAAATTATTTATAAATATATTCACAATTCTGGCATTCATACAAATAACAAAGAGTTAATAGCAAAAATCAAAATATATCTACAGAAACAATTATGTGTAATATATACTCTTCCAATATAATAAAATTATCTATCCCAATTTGCTTAGTATACATACTTTGACTAATCACACTTTTTTTTCTGTGACAAATACCCACAAATGAACATAACACAGTAATAAATAAAAATTAAACATAAAAAGTTACATATTTATTCATATAAACTGTTCTATTAACATTAATTTCAATTAATTTAATTCCCTGGTCTTAAACTTAATAACAATACTAATAAAAATATTCAATGAAATACACTACATGGGAGAAAAAAAGCTCAAAACCAGTAAAAATAAAGATTTTAATAGCTATAATCTGAGATTTAAGAGAATAATTGGTCTTAAATAGTTCAGTATTATTAAAATAATAATATAATTTAACTATTATTTCTGTCCTGGAAATTTCATTACTGAAATTAAGTTAAACTATATAAGATAAAGATTTAACGCAAACTTTTTGATGGTCAAACCTATACTATTAAATCACTTGATGCTGAAAAAAATATGTTAAAACACACACAATATTTTCCTAAGATTTCTGTCCAAAGCGACTTGATTATAATTTTACTTCAATTCTATTTAGCAGAACAAATTGATATTTTAAGTTTTTCTACTGAAAAAAAACCCTATAAAATCCCTATAAATAGTAACTTAAGAAATTTGTTTAATTATGATAAATCTTAATTACAAATAAATTAAATTTTTTTTCACATACTTACTATTAGCAACAAAAAAAAAAAGATGCAGCAAAAATATATTATAAAAAAAGCTGTTTCCTTTTTTTAGAACTAAAAAAGAAATAGTTGAAAAAAAAACACATTTTAGCATCTGCATTAACTTCTAAATTTAACAAAAAAACTGAATAATTATTTGCATAAGGATAACAGATGATGATAATGCTTTTTAAAGAATTTGTAGCAAATGATAAATAAAGCACATACATTAAACAGACATAAAATTGTTAAAAATATAATTTTAACAAAAATAAATGAAAACCTATCTAACTTATGATTTTGGGTAAAACTACTTAGAAAACCGAAGGCACACCAATTTGAAAAATAATTTTACATTTTGCTAATTTTACAAAACTCTCATTTTAAAATTATGCACGGAAAAGACAATTACAATATTTACATGTTAGCATGCTAATCACTCTGAAAATATTCAATAGACATAAAGAGGAAATGTTTAATGTTTTGTGACTTATATTTCCTACAATTTTGACAAAAGAATTTTTCATGATAAAAAATAAATATAACTTCACTACACACAATTGTTTCTACAATCTTGCTCCATGCTTCAGTAATAGAAAACAAATATAACTAAGTGGTAAAATTAAACAGTTAGCAAAGAGTAACGTCAAAATGCATATCTTTAATTTTAAAATTAAGCATTCATGGATCATAGTGGAATAACATTTAAATGGCATAGTGGAATAAAATTTAAATGGGATTTGGAAAAATATCTAAAGTATTTATTGTATTGTATTTATTGTATTGTATTTATTGTATTGTATAAAGTATTAGTTATTATTGTGAGAAAAAAAAATTTTATTTTTTTATTCCACTAAGCTATTCAAAAAATGTATTAAGTATTTTCACAAAGTTTTTACAATGCAAAAAATTTAAAGCATGGCAAGACAATGCCAGAATTGTGAAATTTTACTTTTTACCCACCTGAAAATAAAAAATATTTCTTCCTTTCTCACTTCTAAATTTCTTTCTTCAGATATATTAGAGCAAGTAACAAGCTGGAAAATCATGCACTAACAAAAACTCAATAAAATATAGTTACATAAGGTATAATAAATCAATTTACAACCCCATGCAGAAGAAATAAAAAATGAGAAAAATTTTAATAATATATAATAATAAATTTTTTTAAAAAATAAAAATAATCAAATTCTTTTTAAGAAATGTCAAATTGATTGAAAAAGCAACAGCATTTAAGTGAAGCATATTCAGAAAATAAACAAGCAACTGCTCAGTAGGAAACTTTAAAAATAATTTTTAAAAAACATTTTAAAAGTTATTTTTTATCGAAGAATTAAAAAAAAATTCAAGTTTCAGAACAAAAAACTTCACATTCCTTTTTAGTGATCGATATTGAAGATAGTAACAAGCAAGAAATACTAACATCAAGACTTAAAATAGATAACAATTTCAAAAAAGTAAAATATGCTATTTTAACTAAATTGAGTTTGTTTAGCAATTAAAATAATAAAGAAAGAACAAATAAAAAAAAACTTTAAGCTTCAAAAATGATAACATCATGACTAACAAATACATAAGTTTCAAAATAGTAAAAAAATATTATTTATCAAAACTGTGTTTATTTAATAATTAATAATAAGAAAATAAACAAATAAATAAGACTTAAAATTGTACCAAATAAATGTAAATTTAATACCTGATAAAAACCAATAAAAAAAAATAAAACAGCTGACATGAAGACTTACAAATAAATAACGATTTCAAAAGAGTAAAAAAAACAATTTTTTTTAAAATCCAAATTGAGTTTGTTTAAATGATTAAAATAATGAAATAAGAACAAATAAAAAACAGAAAGTTACAAAATGCTCACATGATGACTAGCAAATATATAAGTTCTATAATAGTAAAAAATATTATTTATCAAAACTGAGCTTATTTAATAATTAAAATAATGAAAAAGAACAAATTAAAAAAATTAAAACTATAGCAAATAAATAAAATCTCACAGCTTGCAGTTATGAAGTAACATTTCAGTGCACAATGTAAATTAAAAGATTAACTGCTTGAAAACAGTTTTTGCATTTAAAATAAAAACAATTAAATATACTATAAAATATTTAAAATTAAATAAGCTTTAGAATAAAGATGCGTTATAAATAGAATATAAATGATTGGAAAACAATTCCATTCCTGTAATAATTAGTTAGACTAATAATGTGAGACAATGTTTCTCCCTATTTTATCTTCAATGTAAACATTAAAAAAAATAGCAATATCATGTTTACAATTTTATTTAAAATTGTAAATATAAAGAAAATAAAGCAAAAATTTTCAATCATCTAAGTAATTAACCGATTGAACTTAGATATAGAAATATATATTGTGGCCATCGTTTTTTTTTTTTTTTTTTTTCATTTCAAAATTTATTTTTCATTTAGTCAACAAATGAACTGAACTTCAACTACATCTGAGTATGGTTGTTTGAAAGAAAATAAACAAACATCAAATAAGCAGTAAATAATAACATAATCAGAACAGTTTTTCTTTAATTTTATTTTATAAGCATACAGCAAGCATACAAAATTAACATGCTTTGTCATGAAATTTAATGTAGAAAAGAGTAAATAAAAGTAACATATTCCATTACGGAGTCCATTTCCTTACATTCAAAATCCTAATGATCACAGTAAACAAGGAATATAATATAACATTTATAAGCTCAATCATCATTGAATAACATTCCCAGAGAAAATATATTGATTTTATAAGTTAGTAAATAATATAAAATATTGAAGTTACATTCAAATCACCTTTTGAGCACTTAGTTTAGAAAATTTTGAGGATATTTCTGCATCCATATTTACAAGTTCCATTGGTGATTCACTATTTCTGTCTATAGCCGGTGAATCGATCATGTCTTCTTCATCCCCTGGGGGTTTATTTCCGTAGCTCGTTTTACAGCATACTTGACAAATGTATATTCCTGGTGGATTTATAAAAGTGCAATGTAAACAACCCCAGGGCTCTGATGGTGGAACTGGTGGTTTACTTTCCTCATCAACATCAGCTAGTTTTGCTAAAGAAAAAAATTTAAATCTTGATAAGAAGACAAAAAATTAGATATTTCAGCAAAAAATAATGAATAGAGAATTGTCGGAACTTCAAAAAAATCCAAAAAATGGATTTTTCCAGATGTTGTTGCTTAGTGAACTTAGTGAAAATAATTTAATTGTTTGGAGGATTAATCTTAGTGAGATTTTTCATTTCATTACATTATACAGGGGTAATTGCGAGCCAAATTAAAAAATCCTGAAAATTTCCTGAGTAAAATCATAAATGATGCATTTCAAAAAATTTATGTCTTTATAAGTTTAAATCATTGATACTTTCACAACGTGAAATTCTAAATAAATTATATGCAGCATAATTTAAATTAATAATTATGTATTTAGTTTACTTTTATCTCTAATCGCATTTATTATTCTACCAGAAAAATTTTTTTACAAATGAAAGAGATGCCACGTATAAATTCTAGTTATAATATTTTTAAATAAAATATACAAGAATTTTTATACATAAGTGTGATCGATGATTTCTGTAAACTTCTGGACTTTGGACTTCTGGATTGCGGTTAGCGAAAAATCTGGAAATCTGGATTTTTTCAGGAGCACAATAATCTCTGATTATATGCATCATCTCTGATTAATGTTTGCATTTACTTTAACCAAAGACGGTTTGTCCAGAATTAAGCATATCATGGAATGGTAAGAAACATACCCATAAGAAATAGCTCATTATTTAGGTCACAAGCTCCTTAAATTTATTTAAAAAATGGAAGTTTGAAAATGATTCTAAAATTAATTAAAGAAACATGGTACTCCTCCATTCAACTGAAAACAAAATTAGAATAATTCTAAAATGGTTCCTAAAAATGGATGATTTAAAAGGCACAATTTGTGTGTAACATAGTGAAATATGCGAACTATATTTTAGGTGTGTGTAAAATTGACTGAAATTTAGAAATTCATCATTGAATATGGATACACTGGAAACGAGCTTAATTTAGTTTCAATATATAACTAATAATGAGTCACTTGAAATTATTATAAAATAAACATTTTTATAAAAAATAAACAAAAAAAATTTTTTCATAAAATTATAAAGCCAAAGTAGAATATTCTTTTCTTGCAGTAAAGGAATAAACTAAACATAATAAAATAAATTTAAAGTTTACATTTCAGCTATGTTGAGGGGAGAACTAAAATAAAATTTATTTATTTTAGTTGTCACCCTCTATTTTAATCAGATTTTTTAAGAGAAATGTTTTTGTGTTATGCTGAATATATTTTTCAAATCTTTAAGAATATATTGTCCTGTTTCAATTAACTTCAAACTTCAATTAGTACATTTTTTAGTCAAATTAATTGGAAATTAAATTACTTTATTCTTTCAAAGAAAGTCAATTAAAATATTTTAATATATTAGGCTCAATATTTTGATTCAATACATTTCCACTTGTTATCTTCCACACATTCAACACAAAACTTACCACTATTTAATCTAGATTATTAACTGCACATTAAAAAGGTTTTTCGTCATGTTATACAATGGAAAAATAGTAGATTAAGGACATAATTCCAGACTAACTTAAACAGGGGTTCTATGCTCAGAGGATTAGAGCAAACAATATATTATTTAAATTTATGATTAAGACATAATGTTTACAAATAATGCAAAAATTGTACAATGGAAAAGTAGTATATTAAGGACTTAATTCTAGACTAACTTAAATAGGGGTTCTATGCTCAGAGGATTAGAGCAAACAATATATTATTTAAATTTATGATTAAGTCATAATGTTCACAAATAATGCAAAAATTGTACAATGGAAAAATAGTATATTAAGGACTTAATTCTAGACTAACTTAAACAGGGGTTCTATGCTCAGAGGATTAGAGCAAACAATATATTATTTAAATTTATGATTAAGACATAATGTTTACAAATAATGCAAAAATTGTACAAATGAAAAATAGTATATAAAGGACTTAATTCTAGACTAATTCAAACAGGGGTTCTATACTCAGAGGATTAGAGCAAACAATATATTATTTAAATTTATGATTAAGACATAATGCTTAGAAATAATGCAAAAATTAAATTTAAATAGTAACACATTATAACAATAATAACAAACACATTGGGTTTTTGTATTAAAAAAAAGCTTTCTCTGTACACTAAATTACTATTTAAAGTATTTAGTACCAATATCAATAGGACTTTTTCTAGTTATTCCATTCGTTTCATTTGTGCTGCTTTCTGGGGTTGGATTATTAAGCAATGGTAGATCTTCAGTACTCTGTGCTTGCCTTGGACTTCTAGAAGTTGATGAACTCCTCCTTACTTTAGCTGAACCAGAGGCCTGTTGAGGTAGATCTTTGGTATTATTAGGATCAGTAGTTGGAAAACCATTTGGATAAAATACTCCTCCAGGATAGGGATAAGGAAAACTAGGATCTAAAAGATTTTAAAGAATTCAATGAAAATTAGATTCAATAAATTAAAATCCATACAGCCAAACAAAATTTTAAAAAAGTATTTAAACATATTTAAACATTATTTTTAAAATATAAACCAATAAAAACCAATAAAATGCCTCATATGGAATATGGAATGATATAAATACTTCAAATGATGCTTAATGCACTCAAATACGTGTCGGACAAAGAGTTTTTGATAAATACGCTAATAAGTGTAACTTGTTTATAAAGAAAATGTAGGAACAGAGATTACTCATTCATTAAATCAAGATGCTTGTTTAGCTAGAGTTGGTTGAAATATTCAAAAATAAAAGCTAAAAAAAGCAATAAATAAAACTGAAAAATCTATAAAAAAAATTTTTACTTTTTAAATTGATTGTAATTATTTTAATCATTGATTTTTATTTATTTACTTTTAAGTGATTAAACTCCTGCAATTGCTCAAAGTTCAACATAAATGAAATTATATACATTAACAATAACATCTATTAATTCTTCCAGAAAAGTTTTCAATTTCTTCAGGAAGCATAGCCAAATTTTTCAACAAAAAATAAGCACCTTTTAAGCACTTCTCAAGCACTCAAAAATATTTTTAAGCACTTATAAAAAAATATAATTAGGCAGGGTTCGCAAGTTTTTGACAATTGACCCTTTTATCCGGATTTAACCGTCATGTCAAAAAAAAAAAACTTTTGGTATAGTTTTTGACAATTGACGGTTTTATCCGGATTTAACCGTCTTGTCAAAAAAAAAATTTCTGAATAGTTTTTGACAATTCTCAAAAATCATGAAATTTGAATCATAAAACGAATGGTGTTTTCATACGCTAAGGACTGACGGTACGCAAAATAGATTAGAGTGAATTAATTGCGAAAACGTCGAATAGAATAATATGAAGTGTCCTTTTGCCTAATACGTAACAAAAATCAACAGGGTAAAGGAAAAAATAAGCACTTGTTAAAAACACCCAATGAAAAAAGCACCTTTAAGGGTTTTTGAAAAAAGAAGCACTTTTTAAAGATGCTACGCACCCTGTTCTTATTTCAACTGTAGTAAAAAATAATTACTGTTAAATCACAGTTTTTGATTTTCTATTAATAAACATCAAGGTTTCAAAAGTATTCTATAACACAACCATCTGGCAAATTAAGTAAACAAATAAACTTTATAATTACCAGGATATGTTCCTAAATCACCATGATTATGTTTTAAAGTCCCATGAGAAGAATGTGAAGCTCCATTTTGAGGCATGCCAGCATGAGGAGGTCCCCATGGCATGGGATGGAAATAAGGAGATGGGTGAGGGCTCATGAGATTTGTCCATGAAGCGGACATGCATTGAGAACAATTCAAATGAGCCATCGATTGAGAGTAAGGAGGATGAACAGGTGGATGCATGTATGGATAAGGATGCGGAAAATGATAAGGATGATGGTGACCACCTGGGCTCATGGCTGCATTAGGTATATCTGTTATACTCCGACTATGGGACTTCGGTGGGTACCCAAGAGGTCTGGAAAAATATATATATATATAGTGAAGATAAATATAATACTTCAAATGATAATTTAAAATTGAATGCATAAACATATTGAAATTAATACTTCGTGTTATAAGTATGGAAACATTATTATAATAAATAGTGATAGTAGTTAGCAATTAGTTAGTGTAACTGTGACATTAAGTCACAGCCTAATTTCTAAATATCCCGTTTTGTTAATCAAAATACTTATTTTTTCGGCTTAATTTATAATTTCATGATACAATTTTTATTGTCTTCATCGTTTTCTTCTCGCCCCTTAACGCGTTAGCGCAATGAGGACATTTTCCCCAGGAAGTTCCTTGCACATTCCTCAGACACTCCTTTTCTTGGAAAAAAGCTGTCGGCGACCTTTGATGTCAACACATGTTTTTAGTTACTGTACGGTCGCCGTTAGTATTTAATTATGCTTAAATTTAAGGGGTTAGTCAACTCACTTCAGTTCGCTCCTGAAGCTAGATTCTTTTGGCTTTTTAGGAAGTTTAACTTCCACTTCTAGCTATTTCTTTAAATACCGCCCATTTCTGGGAGCGGGCAGCATTCGAAATTTTTGTGAACACAAACTTACGATCCCTTAACAGGGATTTTTAATTTTCACCCCCTCCTCTCTTTGGAGAGACGGAGTTTTTTTGTCTGTTTGAATACATGACGGAGATGTTACACATCCTTTTCTTACACCCCCCATGGGTGCTTGTGAGCTGTCGAACTCGGTCGTGATGAAATTTATTTCTTCGCCATGCAGATGTTTTTGAAAAGATGACTCCAGCGGCATCCCACTCCCGCGTTCCATGAGTTTGGTTACATCTCGAAAGTTTGGTATGAAAATGCCAAATGTGATTTGAAGAAGCGGTCCATAGTCCTCCACTGATGGCCTATCCTTTCCAATCATGTGCCAGAAGTTAGTGTGTTGATGTTTATAGTTGTTTTTTTTGTGGCTGTCCCCCCTTCGATGTCATGCTCTACTATAATCCAATTTAACAAACCATCTGCTGATGTTAAAAAATAAAAACGAACATTTGTTTGATCAACCAGAACTCATTTATTCTGTGTCCTTTTTAAGAACATTATTGTTTTCCAACATTTTAGACATCCCAAGGTAAACCTGCAACAGGTATGTGAAACTCCATTACAAAGACATCTTGATTTTTTTTATTGTGTTTTCTTTTATGTTTTTATCTCTAAGGGTTATTGCTCACATCGCATAAATTTGATTGTTTTTTTTAGTTTCGGCCAATCTTTTAAATTTTAACAACTCCATCTTTATAACAGTAACTTTTTTGCGGAGTTATTAAAATAAGTAAAAAATAATGAGGTGTATAAGAATGAAGTAATATAGTAACAATTATTAATATTAATACATCATTCACCGGTCATTTTGCAAATTAAAAATATTATATTTTACATCTACCGTGATTCTTAAAAATCTTACGAATTCTTTAAGAATTTTATTAGATTTATTTATTAATTGTATACAATTGAACATGAATTTTAAGCAATATTGTGGTAAACTTGAGGCAAGATACACAAAACAAATAGTGTCTAAGTCAGATTAATCTCCAACTCAGATTAATTTACCATATATTCCGGAGCATAACGTGCCCCGGCCTATAACACGCACCCGTAATTTCTAAAACTTTTCCTAAATTTTAAGATATACTCTTCCCAAATGTAATTTTCCAAAAGGTATTTTTGTTCAAGTCCACGAAAAAGGCTGGATGGACGAAAATGGTGTTAAATTGTGGGTAAAAAGTGTCTGGCAAATCCGTCCTGGTTGCGTAAGAAAACCAGAAAGCCTTTCAGTGTGGGACATGTTTAGATCCCACCTTACAGATAATACAAAAAAATTGTTGAAAGAATGTAACACCGATATGGCAGTTATTCTGGGCGGATTGACACCATTAGTTCAGTCATTGGAGGTCTGCTTAAACAAACCATTTAAAGCCAATTTAAAAAAACAGTGGACCACTTGGATGTTGGAGGGCGAGAAAACCTTTTCGAAAAGACATATGCGTCATGCAAGTTTGGAAACAGTGTGCGAATGGATATTAAAAGCAGGGGATGAAATTAAGCCTGAGATGGTTAGAAAATCATTCAAAAAATGCAGCATTTCAAATAATCTGGACGGATCAGAAGATGACTGTTTATTTATGAGTGAAACAGATTGTGATGACGTGCCTGAAGAAATAACGGAAGACAAATATAATGAACTATTTATGTAATAATGAAAATCAATAAAGTATATAGGTAAAGTATATAGGCAATCTGAAAATTTTTGGAAAAAAAAAAAACTTTTCTATAAGGAACTTTTAAATGCAGATATGTAATGTTATATTACCATGTAAAATATTTTGTACATTGAATTTATTAAAGCAATTATAAAAATCCCCTATTTTTTTTAGATGTTACACCACATTAAATTAGTTACCTAGTTAGATACTTGAATTTCTATTAAATGAAAATATCTTGAATTTCTATTAAATGAAGAAAGATTGGTTTGACCCTTAAGATTCAGAGCCTAGTTCAGTCTGGTAATTTTACGCCATTGATAAATATTTATAGCATTTTTGCGCAATCATGATGTAACAATTTCACGATATAAGGACATTTTTGTTTGGATGTAAAGAGTTGCTATAGCAAGCATTGGTTGTATTTTAAACTTTTGAAGTCCTCACTATATTCACTATAAGTCATTAAAATCTAACTTAGAAACGGTCTTTTATGTCATTTAACTTACACAAATTTCTCAAAATAAAACTAATTTTTACAGACATGAATCACATATTAGTTACCAAAAGAGATAAATATATAAATAAAAGAAATATAAAGACGAAAACTAAAAATCAATGTATTTTAAAAGCAACTAATTAAAAACACAACTTTTTAGAACATATTATAATGACATTTTTTAGACAGAATTTCAATGCTTACTGCCCAATTAAATCAGGAGTGCTAGATGGAATTGAAACTTGAATTGGTGACAAAGCAGGTTGTGGAGAATTCCAAGGCCTTTCTTCCACACTAGGAGAAATTTCCAAACTTTTTCCTTGATTTCGCTAATTATAAAACAAATGAAAATTATTAATTTAAATTAATTGGCTACAAAACAAAGTTTTATGATATTTTTGTAGGGTACAAAATAATACAGATCATAACGAAAAAACTAAAGCTTTCCTATTCATTAACTTGAAAACTGATATACAAGATACAATACAAAATTCCAATTACTTAAATATAAATTGGATATTGACAAAAACAAAACCAATAAAAGTTAGTATTAAATAAAGTTTGAATTTTGAAGTTTTGTTATTTTTTAAGACCAAAAACAAATTTTTTATTTTGGAAGTTATACACTTTTATTTATTTATTTTTTTAAAATTGTGATAAATCAATATAAAAAAACTGTTCTATTACAAAAATCATTCCTTTTCAACAAAAAAATATTAACATATTAACCTTTAGGATGCGGCTACTAGGTGAAAAAATTCTCCTCTCTGTCCGGCGCTTTCCTGCAGAAATTCAGCCCCCCACTTAGTCAGTGGGAGGTAACTACTTTAACCACTTATGAATGGGAAGCGTTTTGTTGTAATTTATATATCACTCTCCAAGAAGGGAGAAGTAGAGGGGTTGCAGCGTGCATCGTTATGGGCAAACATTTTGACTTAGTTATGAATATTTTGGCATACTTTATTTGTAACGTGTAACACATTATGAGAAAAAGTTAAAATATAATTTTTTTTTTCAATTTTTTTCCACTGCGAAAAAACAAACTTCTTCTCTATAATAAAACAAACTTATATTTAAAGAGTTATTAAGAATTTTTACTGATTTTTTTTAATCGTTTTCTATTGTTTTTGAAAGATATAAATAATTTATTCTTGTTGTAAAATTTTAAACAAATTTATTCTGATAGCTAATGTTAAAAAGCATAGTTTTTGGTTCTCTTAGAAATGAGATGCGTCTGAAACGTCAAAAGTTTTCTTTCAAATTTAATAGTTTATTTCATTTATCCGTTAAAATAATTTGGTCAAATGTAGATTTTTTTTTGCATAAATTTTTTATACTAAATGGATTTTTTATCTTTCTTTCACCTTTTTCTTGAAATTTAAAGTCGCATACATTACGTTCATACAAAATTGTAACACAAATATTCTTCGAGACAAAAATTATATTTCAAGCAGATAATTTATAATGTTATATCATGTGGTTTCTTGAAAGAAATTCACCCAGTTAACAATTTTTGAGTAAGCGATATTTTTTCTGTAAAAATATATTATATGTAAAATATATCATATATACTTTTTTAACTATATTATTTCTATTTCATTTTTATATTTATCCACCTTTCATATATATATATATACGGTGGGGCTGTCTCATTTTTAATTACTCCTAACAAGATTTCAAAAATCTAAAAGTTTCTGTACCTTCTTAAAAGAATAAATAATAAATTTCGTCAAAACTAAATAGTATTTATCACGTGACTTATTTTATGCTAAATGTTTCATATCATTCCCTATGCAACATCGCTTAGCTTGGATGAGCTAATATTCAATTTCTGTTGTTAAAACTTTAGTCATAGGAAACTTCAGATGCAAAATATGTTTCTAAGGAAAAGTCATATTACATTTATTTAAGAGAATATGTTTATTCTAATATAAAAAATGTAAAAAGCTGTAGGAAGAGAAAAGCTCTTGAAATTCCTCTGTGGAAACTAGTAATTAGTAAATAAAAGTTTAAGGGCAAAAAATATTTGTATTTTTGATACTTAAACTGACCTAACTAACTTTTTATTATAAATGCATCAAGTGTCCTCTGCAAGAAATTATTTTTTTATTAATAAAATTTTTCTTAACCTTTACCTGGAGAAACGTTCGCGCTGAATAAAAAGTCATTTAAATTTAACTAAACACTTAATATATAAATAAAATATTTTTTGCTCAACAAAAATGCTTACTTTTTTTCTTTTTATTTAATCAATAGTTGTAACCAGAGAAACAAAATTGACGATTATCGAGACCAATTTTTTTTCATTGTATAATATTGTACAAAAAAAAGCTACAAACTTTTATGTACATAAATTATACTGACATTGAAAAATACTGTTTAGATATGTCATATTACTTAAATTGTTCATATGAAAAATAATTAAAAATTTTCAGAAAGCTTTTTGTTTTCGTTTATTTTAGAATTACATCAAAAGTTTCATGCGTGTATTCATAGGAATTCATAAATATTTTACTAGAATATTTCTTTATATTAAATAATAAATACAAAGACTCTAAAAGTATGTAAGAATATGCTTACAATAAATTTGAAGAAAACCAACCTTTCCAACAAAAATATTTAATAATAAAAATATACTCCACGTTTCTATTAAGTTTATATCTGAAGATCTTATTTTCCGATCTAAGAGTCTAATTTATTTTCAAAATAATGTATTATATATTATTAAAAAGAAAATAACACTAATTATCTGAGTTCCTTTTTTTAAACTGATTAATTTTCTAATGTTTTCCTTAAATTTATTTATTAGGCAAAAAGAAGTATTTTTCCTAATTTTTGTTTTATTTTTCTAAGAAGTTAGAAAAGTTTAGTACAAAATAAAACATCCCCAGAGCTGAAGTCTTTCACAATTTACACCTGCATGTGAAGATGAAGTCATCGATTGTTATCAGACACACCTATACAAGCTTGGTTGACAGTTGATTGAAGGTAAAACATGCATTTCCGTTGATCATGGTGTGGTCTTTTCCTCAGGTATTGTGAACTAACTATTGTTAAGAATTTTAAAAACGACAGACCTCAATATATATTATCAAGAAGACTGTTTATTCTGACAAGATAACATCATACACCAAGAAATAGCACTTTGCATGT